AATTATGTACAATGAAGATAATGTTTCCCAACTTCTATTCCGTCGACTACCTAGTTTATTGATAAATTATGATTTCCACAAAATCTCTTTGCCTAAAAATTTTCGAAATGGGTTGTAGTGTGGTACATTTTGATAGGGATTATTTGAATTCAAACAGTTAAAACAAATCTTCCATGATCAAATTCTTTTATTTCACGGTGACATTATTCTCTTAGTTTTATTGCAGAACAAATATTTTGAATACAAAAAAATTTTACATTCGGTTGTTTGACTTTCTATTGATAATACATTTCCAAGTTCATACCATCGTGAATTTCATCTGAAAAGTAGAAATAAATGAGATAGGTTTTATTCTAGTAAGTATGTAATAAATTATAATTACAATCTGATAGCCTGATGTTGTCTTTATAGATCGTATACCATTTCTTCAAAACAATCTTGTCGTATCTTGTTCCTGTTTGTGCTGCGATGAGTTTTTTAAGGTCACCAATCGTATCGTCTGGATTACATTTCACTCGAACCTTTTTGCCTAAACGATCATTGCATGTAATCTCCAACATTCTTTAAGCTTATTTTTTTGGGATATTTGTAGTTTATTTCATTGTCTTTAAATTTGTGAAAAATGAAATATTCTGTTGTTTATTTCTGAAAAGAGAGAATCTATCTACGCAGATTGCTCATCATAGGGTGCCTCAAAATATAAATTTGTCTACTCAGTATTTGATTTCATTTTTTATGTAGATGATAATTCATTACTGCCATCGGTTCGAGCGTTGTGTTATAAGATCTCAAAACTAAACTAGATAGTTGCCTTTAATTTCAAACAAATTCCACATACTTATATAAACGTAAATAAGTCAAAAGTTGAAAATAAAAAACTTAATTTTAACGTTTCTTGATTCAAAAAAATGTTAGCTGACTTTTACAGAATAGCAAACACCTAAAAGTGAGACAAATTTGGTTTCACATTTCGACTTCATTTTGTTAGTTTATTTGAAAAGTAAGATTCATAAAATAGTGCAAACGTAAAATTAACAATTGCTTCACATCATAGATATGAATGCAAGCTAATAAACTAAATAATATTGAAATTGTAAGTGAAATTAATATTTGGGCGTTTAAATTGTTATTGGGCATTTTACAGAAAACAATCCCAACAAAAATCAGTCGTGAAGTGAATACGGGAGAAACAACAAGTTAGGATGTTTGAACGAGGCAATCGTTCATTTTTTTTGTGTTTTCTTCTTTTTACAAATGTCTCAGTTTGATAGTTAAATACAGCGAAGAGAGTTGAAAAGGGTGTTGCCCGTATATTATTTAAAATCACACCTTATCATTGTGAATCAAAAGAGTAAATAAATGAAAAAAAATGTGTGAAAAGATGTAAATTGTAAAATATTTGAAGAGTGCCAAAAAGAGTAATTAAAAGTATATTTTGGGAGATATAAATATACATTCGAAGTGAGAATTAAAGCGATTTCAAAATTGCGTGAAGAAAGGATAAGAGCTTTTAGTGTAGATAATTGAGTAAAATATTGAACAATGTTTAAGTGCATGCCAATCTTCAAAGGATGCAATCGTCAAGTGGAATTTGTGGATAAGCGACATTGCTCGCTTCCAAATGTACCCGAGGATATCTTACGCTACTCGAGAAGTCTCGAAGAGCTACTATTGGATGCAAATCACATAAGAGATTTGCCAAAGGTAGGAATAATGATCAACAATGGAAAAAAGTGATGACATCATCAGAATTGTTGCATGTAAAAAGACCCTGACTCGGTTTCAATACAAATGTGTGAGTGTTGTGTTGTTGTAAATTCTTTGTCGACTCTTTCTCTCATCCACACTATTCTTTCCTTCCTTTAATAATTTCAAGAACACATCTTCAGGCTAAAAGTTTAAAAGATGAAAACAATTCAATACTGTTGTTTAGAAAAATTAATATAAAAGTTTCGATGATAAAATGTGTTGATGCTATGTTGATATTTGTCTCTAGACACTTCTTTCCGACATTTCACTTTCAGTAGTGATAACTAAAGTGGACTCTTGATGTAACTCACTTGATAGTACGTAATTTCTCGATTGAATGAAATTTTTTGTCTCTCTTAAGAAATAATTTCACCGAATATTTACTTGATACAACGATTTTTTCGAACAATTGTACATTGCTTTGCATAGCGTTCCCATAACTAGTTTCACTTCATCCAACACAAACATCTTTCCTCTTGTTTTTGCTTTTAAAAATAATGAAATTAGAAAATAGAGAATCAAAATAGAGAAAATGATAATCGATAAATCAATAGCTTTCTATGCTCCATTTACAAATTAATTCTATTTTAAATAAATAATAATACTGTCACAAAAATTAAATTCACGTGAAAATGAGCCCGTCACAGAAGGTTGCAATAAAATCAATCTGGATGATTAGGTTTTGTAAAACCTTTTCTTGCTGACAGGAAGGGCTCTTTGGAAAGCATTAGGTATTATGGTAGGAGAAATTTTCCTTTCCATTGAATGTTAACTAAATTTATGATTTTATTAGATGAGCTCAAAACTTCTCTTTCTTTCTATTTCTCTCCAACATTACTAATTGATTATTTTAAGCAAGTGCCATTTCAAAGTTTCAAAACTTGAGCAAAAAAAACAAGTAATACTTTGAATAAATCTTTTATTTATTTGTAAGGAACCATTAGCACTTTACTTACCCCGTGTAGGAGATTTTCCATAAGAAAATAATTTCGTTTCCAGTGGCTTAGATTGAGGGGTCTCAGTTAAGTTTTTTTCTTTGAATACTTACTACAATGAGTCTTTAGTTATTTTATTACAAAGAATTAAAAAAAAAAGATTTGATAGTTAAATTTATCCCTACAAATATTGATAAATTAGAAGTTCTTTTGGATTTCTTAAACTAAATGAATAATCAAACTTTTTTCTTTTATAATGAAGAAATTCGATTTTGATTAAATATGAATTAGGGTTAGGTATGTAATATGTTTTTATTAATTTCAAATGAATACTTTTTCTGCTTGACTTTTTATAATTTTGCTGTATTCTTTAATCATTATATTTACTGAAAATTAATTAAAAACTTTCTCAAATATTTTGTTGTTTATGAATGATTGTATTACCTAATTGTTTTATTTTATATTTGCTAACATAGAAGTTAAAATTTCAGGTACAAAAATACTTTAGATATATATCTTTTCACTGATAAGGCCGTAAAATGAAAACCATAACATTTTGAAGACGGTATACTATTTAATAGAAATCAATTAATGGTATGTGTGTGATAGAAAATGTGGAAGAACATATTTTCGTGTGTACTTGACATATTTCGATACAACAAAATACTAGAAGCAAAAGAAACACCATCAATACTAATAATAATCTGCGCTATGCAATGTTACCTGTTGTCTACGGACGACATTCATGTATAACAAATTGTAAACGTATCGATGGCCTTGAATACTAGTTTGTAGTGTGTAGAAAATGGTTGAGCAATGATACTAAGTATCTACTGTGTTCTCTGTTGTGGCAGATTCTTACGCCCTTTCCTTCCATCTACCCTAAACCATGCTATGTAAGCTACTGTATGCGACAATTATACAAATACTTTTCATGTGTGAGAAGCTGCGTTGAAATCAATAAAAACATGTTACATAATTCATATTTAATCAAAATCGAATTTCTTCGCTATAAAAGAGAAAAAGTTTGATTAATCATTTAGTTTAAGATTTATATTTATAGGGATAGATGTGACTATCAAATCCTTTTTTTATAATTCTTTATAATAAAATAAGTAGAGACTCATTATTGTTTTTATGTAAAAACCAAATGAGAAATTTCACCTTTGGAAACCAATGTGAATAATTATGCACCGGTAAACTAAAGATTTCGTTCTTTCCATAAATTTTATTTAATTTTCAAATATGGACTGTACAAGTTTTCCTAGTATCCTAGATTACTTTTTTCACTTATACAAATAACACTTAGATAATTAAATTTATTCTCTGTTTTATGTACCTAAATCTCTGTAATTAGAGTTTAATATTCTATGTTGTCACTATTCTATGCATAAGCTATCTCGTCACCTGGCAACTGTAAATTACCTTAAAGACGTTTTCTTATGAAAAAGTATTAACAGTAGAAAACAAATAAGGTCATGATCAAAATTTTAGATCCTGTGCGAGAATGTAGAATGTCCTTTAAGAATAGAACATTCATCTAAAGTTAAATAATATTTTCTTCATATCTAAATCCTGTGTCTGATTTTTCAAAGCGCAATAAGTTTCGGAATATGTTGAACATCAAAAAACAGTATTTTTTTTTAAATACATCTTCATTTCGACATATAAGTGTTTATTAGATTTTGTGAAGTAATATTTTTAATATTCCTCGTTATAAAAAACCCATTGCAGTTAAAAAAAAACAATTTTAAGTTTTTTGTGATGTTTGATCCCAATCTAAACGAAACAAATAGAGATGACCATAAAAAACTCGAACTCAGAATTGTAATGAAAACCGATGTAAAACGTAGCAAAATTTAAAGAAAAATATTGGTAAGTTTGTCAACGTGTATTGCTTAGATATTTACCAACGAATAACGAAGAAGACAATTATTTTTTACATTTCATTTAGCTAAACGCAATAACTTCTGAATAATAAATAACTACAGTAGAGTTGTACTTATGTACGATTGTGTGTTATATAATATGGAATTTGTCGTAATAAGTAATATATAAAGTTAATTTTCATTGTCTTTACACATCATATTTGTTTAAATATGTTAGTTGATTGAAAATTGTTTTGTAAATGATTTAATGCAAAAAGGGTAGATGATTCTTATGGTTATGATGCAATTCTGTTCTTGTGAGATAAATTGTTACTTATCATTGTGTTGTTTGATTTCAGAGTTTTTTTCGACTTCATCGACTTCGAAAGCTCGGCCTGAGCGACAACGAGATTCACAAGCTTCCGTCCGACATTCAGAACTTTGAGAATCTTGTAGAGTTAGATGTGTCACGAAATGGTGAGTCAGTGTAGTATATTTTAAATGTATTCCTATTGCAATATCGATCTCATTTAGAAGTTAATTTCGACCAAAACTCTTTGGACCAAAACTTTAATTTTCAGCTGCCCTGCAACCTAAAACATTACTGCCATCAAAAGAGTCTAATTCAATAATGTAATCAAAATCAAACTCAATAATAGAATTAAATTGAACTAGAAATAGAATTGCTAGAAATAATTAACAAAACAATAATAAAATAATTCCAGGGGAGTTTATGAAATAATCAATAATTTCATTATTGCGGGGGAGTGTTAAATCTGTTAAATTCAACAATGAAATTACTAATTATTTCATTTAAGTAATCTTTGAATAACTTTCTTTAGCAAAATTATTCTAAGTAATTCATTCCATTAGAAATTATGAAAGAGTTAAAACAATTAGTACATAGTTGAAACAATTAGTACATAATGAAAAAATCGATGAATGAGCATTTTGATTTATGATAAAATTGCAAATCAACTAATGTTTACCGAACTCACTTCATTTTGTTGTGTGTATAATTTTAAATGCCAACAAAGAAGTTTTTCAAAATACTGCGCTCCACGAAATTTCGAAGAAGATACAAATGCGAATACAAATAAAAAAGCAGCATTGGAATTCTTTTCATGTATAATAATATTAGTCAGTAAAATGGAATGTGCTTAAAAATATGTATTTTTTCTTTTGGAACTTTTATAAATATTATTTAGTCACTTTGTGAGTGATACAACCTAGAAAATATATGGAAATTAACAACTGTTGTCTGTGAAGTGTATAACTACTTTGAGCAAGTGAATAGAAATGATTTTTAAAGCAATTGTGTGTCATGTTAAAAGAAAATAATTAACAATTTTGTTTTTAGATAAGAGGTGTGTTAAAATTATGATTTTCAGTTTCTTAAAGCATTTATTTGAAAACATTATTAAAATATTCTAAAATGAAAGATTTTAATGGAGTTTAAAGTTTTCATGCAAATTTTAATTTATAATGATAAAAAAGATAAAAATTCGATTTTAAGCAAATTAAAGTTGTATTTATATCTGCGTAGAAAAAAAGAATGTATTCAATTTTGAATCATTGAATTGATATTTATCGTCGTATTTGCTTCTTAAAAAGTCAAATCAAACGAAGCATATTTTCGATGTCAAAATAATTTCTATTTGTGATTAAATTAAAGAAAATTTTATGCATGAATTCGACTTCCATGAGACTTCATGATGAAAGACTTGAACCAAATGAAAATGTGTCATTGATTTCTTTTGCCATTAGAACTTCTGATTTAGAAGTCTGTTTTGTCTTCTACACAAGCATTTTCCATGTAGCTTTAAGGGTTTTTGAAAATATCAATGTAAACATTATTCTAATGATTTGATAACAAATTCAGAAACGATCGTTGTAATTTCAAATTAGTGTTTCTTACAGCCGAATATTAAATATTTAACAAACTTTGGATTCTACTAGAATATTTTGATTTAAATCGTTAACTTAATATATTTGCAATGAATGTTTCAAATCGCTTGAGGAAGAATTTGTCTCCTTATATCCCTTAGTTGAATCATGTAAATTACTGGTACATTTTTGTGTTCAATATTCTAAAGTACCGTATAGTCAACTAAATTTCCCTTTTTTCAAAGAGTAAAAAGAGAGGAAGTTTGGTTCGATGAGTTGTTTTTGGATGTACATATATGTATGTATATGCATATCCACAAACACGATGTAATTTCTTTCATTTGTGATTTTTTACCTCACTTGTATTTCTATAAAAAAAAAACAATTCAAAAAATTCATACAAAAGCACGCAACAGAAATTCTGAATTATAAATGCAACACATTCATTCGATCTCCATGTGTACACATATGCAACTATTTATCATTTCATATTCCAACAGGAACGGATTTTTGTTTCTTTTGCTTTTGTAAAAAGTTCGACTAAAGTTTTTATTTCACAACGCGAATGACATAACACAACTAAGGATTAATCAATGACTCATAGAAGTAAGAATAAATAGAAATGGCTCAAGAAAAAGTGAAAAAAAAAACCTAAAATCTGAAGTTCTTCAGTTAATTTAGATGTCCTGGATAGCTGAAAAGGAGATCGGAATAAATATGTTTAAGTCATGAAAATGAAAACTATGCCAGATGTTTTTTTCCAGATAGAAGTGCTAATTTTTTCCCTATTTATAAATATAATTTTTTGAACCTTTTAAAAAATATGAACTTCCTGAAAGAGTCTCTTTACTGATTAACTATCAGAAAATCCTTAAAAACTATATTTTCATCACGATGTGCATCAGCAGTTCACTCTTAGAAACACCTTTAATATTACGTTTTGATTCAGGACTCCTGAATTCTCACATTGAAATTAATTTTTAACACCTTTAAATGTTCTTGTCATACTACCCATCGACAATAAATATCTGGATATAAGTTACATATGTTCATCTTAATAAAAATAAATGTCTAAATTCATGTTTGCAAAGCGAGACAAGTCTTAAAGGTTTTCAGAAAATTCTTCACGGATCAGCTAGATCAAATACACGTTGAACTTGAAATTATCAAGTCGCGAAAAAGAATAAGTTATTGTTAAAAATTAAAAAAAAACTACGTCGCAAAGTACTGACACAAGCAAAACAAACCTTCTGGTTATAAGCTTCCAATTGCAAGTTCAACGAAATCAAGTTTAACTATTTTTTTTATTATACCTAATCATCACCTCGACTAAGTCGACAGCTATAAAAATGACATTGAAGATAAGTTGATCGTTTTATTGACGATACCTTGTTCTAAGAAAACTTCATTTAAGTATCTACAAACTTTTTATGAAATTCTTATTATAATAAAATAATTATTCTACATTTTTTACTCGTGATCCAATAAACGGAAACGAAATTAAACTTCGAGATGTAACTTAATTTAAAAAGGTTTTTTTATGTTATCTATCTATCTTTCGTTGTCTATAAAATTTTTTACGTAATGATTTATTGTACAGTGCAAGCGCGATTAGCGAAAGCTGAAGGGAGTCACAATTAACGAACTTTTTCTCTAAATGAACGAAAATTGTTCGAAAATGTGAGTGTGATGTCGAAGTTTAACGAGCTTTTTTTAAATTTTTACGCTAAAGGAGATTTCGCTAATCGCTCTTGCACTGTATTTTATTTGAAGAAAAAGGACAAAAATTGCATCATTTACATTTTCATCAGCCAGATACAAGGTGAACGGAAGTGAATTTTTGTTTCAGATTTCCCTCACTTTCACAATAAACCAAAAAAATATTAAATTAGGTCATAAAGTATAACGAATAAATAAAAAGAGCATTCGATAATGTTACACATGTAAGACTACAGTGTAAACACAGAAATAATGAAGTGGATTTAACAAAGAATTGTGATTCTCGTCTGTTTTCATTCCCTCTACTGCCGATGCAAGTTAAATGGAATGAAATTGAATGAAAATAAATTCTATAAAACGAAATTTGCAATACTAAGTATTCTTTCCTTTTTTAAAGCGTTAATTTATAAGCGCAAGCAATTATAAAAAGAATTAAATAGATTCTGATGATTGAGAAATTATTGTCACATAGTTTAAATCTACAAGCACAAAAATTAATTCTGATGTAACTTAAATTAACCCAAACATGCTAGAGAATTAAACTTAATTGTCGGTGAGCTCGATGTGCAATTTCTGAGTTTGCATTTAAGTCTCAACGGTCTCAAAGTATATTTAATATGGAATATTTGTTGCCACTATTTTCAGCCTTTTCTGCTTACTTGTAACGAATTTGTCACTCTTTTATAATTGAAGATCATGGCAGATAATTGCGTAAGAAGTAATTTAATTAAGACTTTCAAGTAGCATCAGAGTGAATAAATAATTTAAAAGTTTGTCAATTCATAAAACAAATTTTGTGACAAGATAACATAAGTATTTATAGGGTAAACAAGGTATTGTGAATAGTGTTTCTCAAAATCCCTGATTTTCCAGAATCAGGGAAAAAGGGAAAAGGGATCGTTCAATCCCTAGGGAAAATAGGGAATTTTTAGGGGAAAGCAAAATCATGGAAAAAAAGATTTTATATATTATTTTCCANCACTAAACCATTGAACTACTGGTTCAGGTCGTCCTACACAAAAAAGGTTAAACATTCTTCATCAAATATAAGTACATAGGAATGTTGAATTCAATATTAAGATAAATTGAAAATTTAATAAATTCTGAGAAGGATTTTCATTAGTGTTTCTCAAAATCCCTGATTTTCCAGAATCAGGGAAAAAGGGAAAAGGGATCGTTCAATCCCTAGGGAAAATAGGGAAAATAGGGAATTTTTAGGGGAAAGCAAAATCATGGAAAAAAAGATTTTATATATTATTTTCCATGCTTTTTATCTAGATATTTGCAGTTTTTTTGAACAGACTTTTAAGGAAGCATAAAGCATCCAGATGTGAGTCTCCTAAGCGCATTCTTTTCTTTGTTACAAATGAATTTTCTTACGCTTTGAGTGTTCATCGACGGAGTCAAAATCTTCATCGTAATCAGATAGTTCTGGCAGGCTGCTTTGCGAGCTTTCTGATTCTTCTAACACATAATATATGTACATGATTGAAATGATGTGTTACATTTAGAAAAGGATAATTCAAAATTATAGTATAATTAATATTTCAGATTGGTCCCAATAGCATCTTCTCAATATCAATGAATGTTAATAATTAAATNCGAAATCAAGTTTAACTATTTTTTTTTATTATACCTAATCATCACCTCGACTAAATCGACAGCTATAAAAATGACATTGAAGATAAGTTGATCGTTTTATTGACGATACCTTGTTCTAAGAAAACTTCATTTAAGTATCTACAAACTTTTTATGAAATTCTTATTATAATAAAATAATTATTCTACATTTTTTACTCGTGATCCAATAAACGGAAACGAAATTAAACTTCGAGATGTAACTTAATTTAAAAAGGTTTTTTTATGTTATCTATCTATCTTTCGTTGTCTATAAAATTTTTTACGTAATGATTTATTGTACAGTGCAAGCGCGATTAGCGAAAGCTGAAGGGAGTCACAATTAACGAACTTTTTCTCTAAATGAACGAAAATTGTTCGAAAATGTGAGTGTGATGTCGAAATTTAACGAGCTTTTTTTAAATTTTTACGCTAAAGGAGATTTCGCTAATCGCTCTTGCACTGTATTTTATTTGAAGAAAAAGGACAAAAATTGCATCATTTACATTTTCATCAGCCAGATACAAGGTGAACGGAAGTGAATTTTTGTTTCAGATTTCCCTCACTTTCACAATAAACCAAAAAAATATTAAATTAGGTCATAAAGTATAACGAATAAATAAAAAGAGCATTCGATAATGTTACACATGTAAGACTACAGTGTAAACACAGAAATAATGAAGTGGATTTAACAAAGAATTGTGATTCTCGTCTGTTTTCATTCCCTCTACTGCCGATGCAAGTTAAATGGAATGAAATTGAATGAAAATAAATTCTATAAAACGAAATTTGCAATACTAAGTATTCTTTCCTTTTTTAAAGCGTTAATTTATAAGCGCAAGCAATTATAAAAAGAATTAAATAGATTCTGATGATTGAGAAATTATTGTCACATAGTTTAAATCTACAAGCACAAAAATTAATTCTGATGTAACTTAAATTAACCCAAACATGCTAGAGAATTAAACTTAATTGTCGGTGAGCTCGATGTGCAATTTCTGAGTTTGCATTTAAGTCTCAACGGTCTCAAAGTATATTTAATATGGAATATTTGTTGCCACTATTTTCAGCCTTTTCTGCTTACTTGTAACGAATTTGTCACTCTTTTATAATTGAAGATCATGGCAGATAATTGCGTAAGAAGTAATTTAATTAAGACTTTCAAGTAGCATCAGAGTGAATAAATAATTTAAAAGTTTGTCAATTCATAAAACAAATTTTGTGACAAGATAACATAAGTATTTATAGGGTAAACAAGGTATTGTGAACACAATGTTTTTTGTAAGGTATTGTGAACACACCTAATTTCGAATGCGATTTTCTTCGCTATTTTGCATTCAAATGGATCAAAACTTTGTATAGAAGTAGTTTGAACTATCTACTCTACTTCTATACAAAGTTTTGATCCATTTGAATGCAAAATAGCGAAGAAAATCGCATTCGAAATTAGGTGTGTTCACAATACCTTACAAAAAACATTGTGTTCACAATACCTTGTTTTACCCTAATTGTAATTTATTATCAATACGATGCGATGTCATAAAATATCCTTCTTTTCATAGAAAGGACGTAAAATAATCTATGCTTTTAATTGACATTAATAAAATAAATACTATACATCCAAAAGGAATGTTTGATTATCATCAGTAAATTGAGATTTTTACGAGCTGAGTGCGCTCAATCAATTTATTTAGAAATTTATTTAGAAATTTAATTCGAAATTACTGGTTCGATCCACTCGTCAGGGAAAATTACTCTTTAATTTTTCAACTTATCATATGTATACCTATGTAGAAGTGAGCCTTTTCATTTATTTTATTTTATTTAAAACCAATACCCAAAAGCCGGATCAAAATTGCAATTGGAAGTTGGAATAAAGTACAATCAAAAAGATTTTAAATGATTTACAATTGCACTTGCTGGTGCATATATAGATGCTTCACTTACTAATATTTTTCCTCTGTTGTTCATATTATTCTTTTAGATATTCCCGACATTCCAGATGATATTCGTCACTTACATTTGCTACAAATCGCTGATTTCAGCAGCAATCCGATTCCAAAACTACCGGCTGGGTTTTCACAATTGAGAAGTTTGACAATACTTGGGTTAAATGACATGTCATTGACATCATTGCCAGTTGATTTCGGATGGTAAGTTACATTTATGTAATGTGTAAAATATTTCTTAAACGGCGAGCTAGTAATAATATCATTATGCCAGTGAAGTCCTAAAAGATCCATAAAGTATTACTAAATTGAAGTTGCCCTAGCACTATCTTTCCTAAACATCATGTAAGCAAATTACAATGTACTAAACAGTTTTTCAAAAATCTTCTTAAAGTATAAGACCCGTTAAAGCGTCTGATGCAATACGCTAAAAACAAAATTGGGTAAATGCAAGTAGATCAACTTAATATCTCAATAAAAAACGAGATAAACAATAATCTGAATTTCACGTTTAATTTTTAATGAACTAGGTATTTAAAATATAATTTGATGTAAAATTTTCAAAATGTCGCTTGATCATATGATTTTTACACAAATGAAAAAATGAAAAGCTTCGTTTTTCTTAATGGATTCATTAATATTGGACTTTTATACATAGTTAAAGAGTGGTTATTAGGGTGTAAAATTCAAACTCAAACGAAGAAACAATAAATTTTTCAATAAATGTGAAGTTTTGACTGGTGTTGTGATTTTGAAGGAACAATTATTTGGCTTTCAGTCAGGTATTATTATTTGTGCTTTTATTATTTGGGCTACGTTTCGATGACTATTTTGCCATTCTCATCAGGCTTAAATAAAACAAAATCGTCAGTAAGAAAAAATTTTCTTACTGACGATTTTGTTTTATTTAAGCCTGATGAGGATGGCAAAATAGTCATCGAAACGTAGCCCAAATAATAATACCTGACTGAAAGCCAAACAATTTTTCCTTCAAAATAAATTTTTCTTAGATGGATTGATGAATTATTTCATTTGAGTTAGCATCAGCAAACATTCCGACAATTTTGCTGTTAATTTTTTTTTCTACTTTTATTTGTCCACTTTTAAGTTTTGTAAACCAAGATGAGTTTTCAGCAAATGCTTGCTAATTTCTATGACACGACAACATAACACGAAAATTAATCTTACTGAGACCACCACAGGTGATTTTAAAATTTTATGCCTTCTTCCGGTCTCCATTTGCGTTTTTTTGATATTCCGTTTTAAAGACATTTGTTCGATTACTGATTTCATTATCATTGCACTATATTTTTCGTTATAATTATAACTGAAATGTATTTTCTTCGTTTATATCTAGATCTACTAAAATGATCCAAGCTTTTGCCAAAAATTTTACACTAAGAATAAGTTTTAATTAGCTCCTTTTTGCCGTTTATTAAACACCGATGTAAACATTGGTACTAAATGTGGTAAAAATCTTGAAAGGATGTAATGTCGACTTATATTATTAAGTCTCTTCGAATAGCCAGGCACCTGTGTTCATCCGTTTTTCTTTTCATCCTATTCTCTTATTAGTTAGTTCATCTACATATCTTAAACAAAATATTTTGCATTATGTCATTTAATGAAGCAAGACACCCATAAATTGTGGAGCAATTTTCTCCTTTGCCTTTCGTTAAATCAACAAAAGAAGTTGAGAAAATGCCATCAAAATACTTTGCTTACATTTGCAGACATAGTTTTATCCGTCAATTGTTTTATGAATAAGCGTTGTTAGCTGTTTGATATGAAAAATTCAATAACTGATATTTAGGCTGAAAACGCGAAAAGTATTTGAATGAAAATATCCGGAAATATTTCGTTTGATGAAGCATTTAACGTAACTTAAATTCATTTTCCTAAAGAAAACGTTTCTGAAAGAAATAATATTATTTTCAAATAAAAAAAAATGAAGCAGATATGAAGTTTTACAGATCTTATGTACACAGATCTTAAAGGTTATAATACTTGTTGCTTGGAAATAAAAATTGTATTCACTTTTTACAACTTTTACACATTAAAGTTAAAATATACGCATATTGAAAACATTATCGTCACAGTGACAGATGATTTAACTACCTATACAAAAAAAATTAACGCTGCCTTTTTTATAAAATCCTTTCTTCTGTGAGCACTTGTTTTGTGCTTCATAGAAACAGTTTGAAGCTAGAGAAGCTCGTTTAGTCTTAACGTTACAGAGAAATATTTTACGACATATTTTAATAAAAGTTCTTCCTCTGAAACCTTTTTTACTAAAATCTCACTTTTGACTTAATTTAAGTAAAAGGGTTATTTAATGTTCCATTGATGATAAAACTGCGTTAATGTAGTTGATCTTTATATTCAAAGCCTAAAATTTTAGTGGTAATGTATTCTTCAATCTATGCTTATCGCAAACGACGTTGAACCTATGATGGCGAGCTATAATTGATTTATTATTTTTTAATTGAATGTTATTTATCTAAATGCTCTAAATTTCAATGCAATAAATACATGTTTTTTTTATAGCCTAACGTCATTGGAATCACTAGAGTTGCGAGAAAATTTACTAAAGAACTTACCGGAATCAATCAGTAAATTATCAAAGCTTGAACGATTGGATTTAGGTGACAATGAAATTGAAGAGCTACCACCACATCTAGGTAACTTACCATCACTTCAAGAGCTTTGGTTAGATCACAACCAACTGCAACGCTTACCACCAGAGATCGGAAATCTTCGAAGTCTTGTGTGTCTTGATGTATCTGAGAATCGTCTTGAGGAAATTCCGGAAGAAATTAGTGGACTCGATAACCTTACAGATTTACATTTGTCGCAAAACCTTTTGGAATATCTTCCTAACGGAATACAAAAATTAATAAAGCTAACAATATTAAAGTTGGATCAAAATCGATTACAAGCACTTAATCATAGCATTGGAATGTAAGTTATTTTTTGATTAATTTTTTTTTCTGAATCACTGACAAAAATTTATCGCTAGGTGTGAGAACATGCAAGAGCTTATCCTTACCGAAAATTTTCTAAGCGAATTGCCAAACACCATTGGTAATATGAGAAGGCTAAACAACTTAAATGTTGATCGAAATGCACTTGTCGCTTTACCATCTGACATTGGAAGTTTAACTAACTTAGGTGTGTTAAGTTTGCGCGATAACAAACTTTTAAAGCTGCCATCAGAACTCGGCAGTTGCGTTTCGCTTCATGTGTTGGATGTGTCTGGAAATCGGCTTCAGAATTTACCATATTCATTAGTGAACTTACAGTTAAAAGCTGTTTGGTTATCAGAAAATCAAGCTCAACCCCTTTTAACATTTCAACCCGACACCGACGAAGTAACGGGCGAACAAGTAAGTGTACTACTTGAAAAAAATTCTATAACCAAATTTAAGAAAAACATATTAAAATTTATTGATTTATTTCAGGTTCTCACTTGTTTTTTGTTACCCCAACAAGAAATGCAGCCCGTCAGTTCTGGTAAGTGTTATTTACACTCTTCGGAAAATTTTCGTGAATTTTTTTTATCCCACCCAAAACCTCAAAAGCGAGTGTGAACATTAAAAATTCAAACGACTCCAGTAAAAATCTGAAGTCTCTTTCCAGGCTTTTTCTGTAATACTTTTTTATTTTAGTTACAAAGTTTAACGTAACTTATCAAGTGTGGTGTACAGCATCATGGCACATTTTCCCCATGCAAACTTTTTATCTGTTTTTATAATTTATTTAGTTACTGCAAGTTTGGTGATGTGAAAATTTTTACTTTGATGTTTTATATATGTTTCAAATGCTTTCGATTCAGATATTAAGAGAATTATCATTTCAATTAAAGATTACAAACCATGTGCAGTTCTTAATACTTATAAAGCACTGTAAATATCCTTTTTTGTTATTGTGTGGACATGGACATGAACCCCAATAGCGATGTTTAAACTATTTCCGTATTTCGATTATAGAAAACAGCCGACATCAAATAACATCATTCACTGTTAAACAGAGAACATTTTTAATTATTGTTATATTCAAAGCCTTTTCACTTGTAATTGAAATTCTGTAGGGGTAATGTCGGCGATTTTTAGATAAGCTTTTAATAGGTATACTTTTATGAAATACTACTTGCACTTGGCACGATATAAAGATTTTTTATCTAATGCATAGATTAATTTAAAATTTTAACTTCTTCTTTATGAAACTTGCACCGAAAAATCACATTTTGCTATTAAAGAATTAGCACCAGGCCGTCTTTACCGTTCTGATCAAAGGTTCAGTTCTATGGATTTATCAGACATACAAGGTTTAGTAAATTTTAAATACACAAACACATAAGGTTTAGAAGATCTCGAATCATTCAATTATAGAGATCAGGGGAAAGTATGTAAATCAATCATTTTTTATAGAAATCGGATATGTTTTCTTGGTACGATTAATTCTTTAAGTTATTGCATCTTATGACATCACGATAAAATTATTTTTTCGCTTAAAAATTTAAAATGATTTCTATGATAAATTCCTTTTTCCTGATCCCTATAGTTTCGAAACATTGGGAAATTGACAATTTTAAAAAGTTTTGCAAATTTAAATTTAACTACCTAATACACATTCTCTAGAAAATATCTAATTTGAACTAAAAGATCTAACAAAAAAAACTTATTAATTTATCATAAACATTTGGAAGTTTTGGTAATTTCACAATGCAATTAACCGTTTAACAATAAAATTTCTTAATGCATTGCAAGTTTTAGTGCTTTTACATATTTCATACAATTATGCCTGATAAAATAGCATATAACTTTAATTTTAGCACTTTAATTAGTTGAGTTTTGAATTCAATTATAAAGTGAAGACAATATAGATTTCTTAAATAAAAAAAATAGTTTCGCATGACGAAGAGGAACAATTTATAAGAATGATGTATTATGTAGAGTATAGTAATGCGGCCAGATACAATTTGAATTGATTTCTAGATAACAATTTCTTTCCTTCTTTTTTATTCCCATACCTATTTTATAGACAATCGTGAAGATTCTGAAAATGAAGACTGGGAAGTACGTGAAAATTCAAGAACAAGTACAGTTAAGTTCAGCGAAGATTCCAATGCAGATAAAGAGACGCCATTTGTAAGGCAAAACACTCCACATCCAAAAGAATTGAAAGCAAAAGCACATAAGCTTTTCTCAAAAGACAAGAAAGAAGATGAGAATAATCTGAATCCGCTGTCAGAAGAGGTAAGCTCAGTAAAATCAGCAGAAATATTCTGACGTTGTTAAGTGGAATTTCTCTGTCTGTGGAAAAACGTTTTGATGAAACCTTGAAAATGAATTGTGTCTTGGATATTTATATTAAATTTTTTTTTTCAACAGTCACAACGCACAGAAATTTCAATTGAACAGCAACCAAATCACATGCCACATTCCCATGACAATGCAACTGTTGTCTTATCTGAACATCAACAACCACCACATGTCACATCGCCAAGCGAAGGAAATGTAAGAAAAAAGTTTGATATATGTGTGGAAATCGATTCTAAATTGAATTTTCTTTTTTTTAAAGGATGGAAATGAGAAACGTGTTGGATTTTATGAACATGAACAATTCCAACAGCAGCAGCAACAGGATTACTCCGATGGTGACGCTGAAAATGATAAACGTCCAGTTTCAAAACTTCATCGACGTGATACACCTCATCATCTTAAGAACAAACGCGTGCAGCAACATCTAAATGATAAAACTGCTAATGTCATTCTTAATAAGCTGAAAGAAATTCCACCTCAACCTGTTATTAACGAAGTATCCCCGCATATTGAAATTAATCCAATGCCTCTCATTCAAGATGTTGGTTTGCCAATTGTTGATCACTATCCTCAAAATGGAATCGACTTGTCAGCTCATTGTTTCGGTAAGTTTCATTCCGTCTTATATTTCCTTAACAAGAGTCAGTTATTTGTCAATTATTAAAAAGAAATGTTTCAGAATGCACAGAACATTTATTTTTGGAGTAATCGTATGAATGAATAAAATTATTCTTCATGTGTGCATATATTCTCTTAGAAATACAAGTATAAAAAAATTCATACTTAGTAAATATCTGGGTAAGAAGTAATTCTTATCATCATTGATAATTGCAGAATAAAAGATAATTTTAGTATCATAGTTTTTATATATTTGTGCTTTCAATATCTGTTCCAAGACTTTAAAGAAAAACGGAGAAAAAAAAATTTAAACACATCGCTTTTTATAAGCTCTAATTTGTGATAAGGAAATTTTTCGTTATTCGATATACTCATAAGCAAATTCTACCACACCTTTATAAAACGGTGATAATAAACAATATCAACAAACATTTGCCACAAAAAAAAATGTTTTTTTGTTACCTCTACTATAAGATCATTGTAGTTGTAACAATTGCACAACTCTTTAACATGAATGATATTAAGTTACTACTGTTATGAAAAAAGTAGGCGAAATTAGTCATTTTTAATAACTTGAATATAATGCACGTAGATTTACTTTGCGGCAAAATTTAATTTTATTATTTTTTCTTTGCGTTAAATACACGTTGATCGAATTAAGTGAAGAAGATTCAATTCTTTCCTTTGAAGACTGAGGCAAGGAATTAAAAGCTTGTGGTTTTTCAATCGGAACAAACTGATCAGATCAACAAGAGGAAGGAGTTAAAGAGTTCAATTCGTCATCTCTTTGGAGTTTTTTTGAATGAAGGAACGGTGACGTACAATAGATTGAATAAAGCAGGAAGAAAAAATCAATTTAGTTCTATGTATGATAGAATTATTGTTGAGTTGTAGCTGCAAGGTATCTTCTTAGGAGAACTTTTTAAAAACAAAAATACCGTACACCAAATTTCGTTGCTTATCACAAAAAGCGAAAGGGCGGTGTAGATAAGAAGCACAGAATTTTTATGTTACTAAAGCGATAAAAGAATAATTTGATAAATGATAAAACATTGAAGTATTCACCCTTCTACATTTCATTGGCAGCGCACGTTTGCTACAATATCAACAAAAATTCGTGTTTACCTTTCATGTTGGTGATGTCATCTTCATCGTTGTCGTTGACATCGTCTTCGTGATGACTTTACATGAAGGTTTTTATCACACTTGAAATAATTTTTCAGTGGATTACATTCATTCATTGAAACTTTACAAAAATATCATGAGTGACTTTTAAATAATCTGTAAATAAATCAGTTTCCTTCATTTATTAATTTGTTAACATTATTAAAAGAAACCAACAACTGTAAGCAAAGATAATTCAAAAGCAAATTTACAATGTTCAGCGTGAAATTCAAAGTTAGAGAAGAATCGCGTGGAAGTGGACGTAGACGAAAAGGTACACCAGGATCATCCTTTTCATCATCAACATCTTCGCTATCACGCCTTCAAAATAACAGTAATAAAATGCCATCAAAAAGTGCCTTTCTAAGCAATAAAAATGGAAGTAAAAACAATAAAAAAGTTCGCATTCAAACATACGATCAGTTGGCAAAAAATCTCAGTGGTAGGTGGACAAGTCAATGAATTGTTCTTGAAGTCTTTTCTTCGTATCATATTAGCATTCAGTTTTGTTCGTTTCGAGAGACCACTAAACGATAATATGCTTGACACACATCTCCAAAAAAACACAAAAAATTAATTGAGCGCATTTTGAAGGTGACTAAACCAGCTTTGCGAGAATAAGTTATGTTCACATAAATTCCAGTAAATATTTTCTACGAGTAAGTCAGCAGGTCTCGTGATGATGTCACGAAGCATGGAATTTCTAGGCGAGCATTTTAATGTAAACAATAAAAAAAAACTTATACATGGTTGGATATCTTGGGGCGGCTTCTTCTGTCTCTTTAACAATCATTGAGATGGATTAGAGTTCGAGGCTTTTGGGATGAAATGTCACGATCAGATTATCATAGGAGAAGAAGAGACAAAAAATTGTTTATCGGTTGAAGCGAGAGAACAAAAAGATTTCGATAAATAAAGAAGTTTAAGCGGAATTGTCGTCATGGGGCTATTTTTATGAAGTGACATTTGTAAGAGCACGCACTGACATGTTTAACCTTTTCTGATGATAGCAATTTGTAAGCGTAAAAAATTATTTTTTATGAGAGTGTGATGACATGACCGAGTGACCGAAGTGAATTGAGTAAATCGATATTATTTATTCTTCTTAGAAAGATGCGCGCTCTGATTATTTTTGAAACACATTGTTGTTAATATCATCGTATATAATCTTGTATATAATGTATTAAAGGCTTGTAATACAAGGGCAATTGAAGAGTCTTTTTGCTCTTTTCACTCAAACACATATGAGAGACTCGGTGACTTTAACGTTCTACGTTCAATGGCAATGATAATTGCTGGCTTACACACAACCATTTGAGCGAAGCGTGAATAGAGATACTTACCGTTTCCATTGACAACTTGTTTTTTAGATTCGCTCATTTTTTCATTTTTACTCACTTACTCGTTTGTTTACATGAGTGAAGTTTTCAGTTTCAGTCGACACGATCCAATCGATTTTTTTATTTCAAGTTTTTAGTTTTCGTTTACGATTCAAAATATACGCGCATAAAGATCTACAGACGATCACATTAAAAAGGAAAAAAATAGTGTTCTTCTTTGCTTGGACTTTTTAATCCATGAAACGTGAAAATTTTGCAAAGTTTCGTCTAGAAAGGAGAGAAAACAGAAAAAAAGAAACATAACTATCGTCGATCGTTTGAAAAAAACTAAGAATTTACGGTTGATTCCTTTTCAATGACTGTTGAATCAGTTCAATAGTAAATTGATAGTCGATGAATAGAGTAAAAATTTTAACAGCTGAGAAAACGTCCAAACGTGATGAAATTTATCAAAATCAATTGTAATGTATAGAAGCAAGCAAGCAAAGATGAATTTTATATTCTATTGTTATAAAAATTCTTTCTTTCAATGTTATTACTTACTATAATTTTCATTGTTGCGCAATTTGTGTTCATTCTCACTTTTGTTCTGTTTCTAAATATAATGATGATGAGTTAGAAGAAAAAAATAAATGCGATGACACAATTATGATTGAAGGAATTAGTTGAGAATAAGAAAATTTTAGATTTTCGATTGTAAATAATCTCATCAATAATTAGATGTCATATGTAGATATATGAAATGAACTGCAATAATTTATTTTTAAGTTCATAAATATATTTAGAAAAAAAAGTTAGCCAAAATAAAACATTTCACGCTATAACGGCGTTTCTATAGTGCATATTTTTACCAATAAAAAGACATTATCTCAGTTACAACGTGCGACACGCCGTTATTTTTTTTCTGAGTGTAGATGTAGATATTTTCAAATTCTAAATAAATTAATTTTTAATTGTTCTTGTAATTCAGATTCAACTGATGCTCTTACGGCTTTGAAAGAAGAACGGTTAGAAATTCATATCGAGAGGACATCGGCTGGTCTTGGATTGAGTATAGCAGGAGGTCGAGGATCAACACCATTTAAAGGCGATGATGAGGGAATTTTTATTTCTCGTGTCACTGAGGGTGGTCCGGCAGATTTAGCCGGCTTGCGTATTGGTGATAAAGTTTTAAGAGTGAACGGAGTCTCGGTGGAAGATGCTGACCATTACGATGCTGTTGAAGTATTAAAAGCATGCGGAGCCGTCCTTGTTTTGCTTGTATCGAGGGAAGTTACTCGTCTTGTTGGTCATCCAGTATTCCTTGAGAATGGTGAACTTGCAAAAATTGCCATCGACGAGCAATATCACGAGAAAGAAAATGATCGAGAAAATTTAAAAATGATTCCAGCACCAATTCAAATTCCGCCACCACAAACATCCCTACATTCCGAGCCATTAGTTCATCAACACGTGTCAACACATTTTCTTCAAGGCGGTCAAGATGTTGCACATAAAGTTACTTTGCATACGACACTGATTCGCGATCAGATTGGACAAGGTTTAGGTTTCAGTATTGCTGGTGGTAAAGGTCATACACCATTTGTTGATGGATCCGATGGCATTTTTATCTCACGTCTTACCGAAGGTGGCATTGCGCAGCGAGATGGAAAAATTCAGATTGGTGATAAAATTGTTGCGGTAAGATAGACATTATTTAACTACTTTTAAAATGTAACAATCTTTGTTTCTTTCGATAAATTCCAGATTAATGGTGCTGACATGCGCGCTGCAAATCATGATCATGCTGTTCAATTATTAACTGACAGTCAACGTTTTGTACGACTCGTCGTTGAGCGTGAAGTCAAAGGACCATTAGAACCGCCACAAAGTCCACGAAGTCCATTACTTAAAAGTCTTAGTCCAACTGGCTACATGGCTAATCGACCTGGTTTGTAATCTCTTTTAAATTCTCATTTCGTTATATACTTTTCATATTGGATTAAATTGATGAAATTTTGTTTTTTTTTAATATTATCTACTTGACCAGCTTACATGGGTTACCGGAGATCAATTGATGGTCATATTGAAAGTGTCAGTGGAATGAATAGAAGTCAGTCAAATGAGGCACAAAGTAGCGATATAGGCGTAAATAATCATACATTGACGTCATCGGCAAATATAAGTACAAAAAACACTTTAACATCACAAGAAAATAAAACACCATCGAAGCCCACGCCATCGCTTCTGACAAAGATGAACGAGAATTTCATCCGTAATGAACAACAACAGCAGCAGCAGCATCAACAACAACAACACCAAGCGCAAGTTCAACCACCACAACCAGCACCAAGAACACGATTGTCATCTCAGAATTCTGTTCCAATGACAAATGGCGATAGTAGTGGAACGAAAGCAGATGACACAGCACAGGTAAGAGGAAGATGTTTTTAGTGTGATTGAGTTATTTTTGAAGGTTAATGGAAAGATTTATGCTAGTAAGTTTTGATGTGTCAACAAATGACATTTATTTTATTCCTTTTTTGATGCATCAAAATTTTGTTTTGTAGTCATGTTTATTTGATTCGACTGTTCTCATTGCTTAATCTCTCCTAAATTTTCTTTCCTCATCCATTCCGTATTTGTAAAAAATAAACTGTTCAATTGCTATGAAAGTTATTTTTGCTTTGAATGCATGATGAAGTAAGGCAGGAAATAAAAAATGATTGAAAGTTTTTTACTACCGATAGTAATTTTTACTAAATTTGATCCTCAAGCAAAAAAATTTGTATATGTCTCCACTTACCCTTCCATCATCCACCCAATCAAGAAAACCTTTTTGTACTCTTTTATTTCCTTCTCTTTTTAAGATGCTTCTTACATTTTCTTAGCTTGAAAGCAAAAGAAAATATAAAATTAAGTTTGCTAAATAAAAAAGCTTAAAAGTCATAAATCATCAAAAACAGCAAAAAATAATTAAATTTTTTAAATTAACATTTTGTTTTTCTCTTTTTTTTCGTTTTTTTTCCTTTTACCCTGAAAATTCCTACGAGGAAATTTGTTTTCATTAAATAAACTGTAACAATAATTTGCGAATGAAACTTAACATGAAAAACGTAAAATGATAAAAAAAATGTTGAAATAAAAATTCAGACTCTGCGTCCAATGACGAGTGAAGACTTCCAAGCGATGATACCTTCACATTTCCTGAGTGGAGGCAAAAATTACGAAGTAGAAAAAATATCACCCGTTATCGACCATGGAACGTCAGCTGTGACGGTGACTGTGAAAAAAGGAGAGCCAGACATGCCCATGCTACCGCCAGCTCCCACGGAGTTGGGATTGGTCACCGAAACAATAACAAAATCAACATTTACGGAAACTGTCATGACACGAGTCACCGACAATCGATTAGGGGAACCATTAATTAGTGAGGTATATCAAGATAAAAAAAAATCAAAGAAAAAAGAAAAAGAAAAAATGAAAATAAATATTTAATTAGGATTTATTTGCACACATTTCTATAACAGTATACCTATATGACATTACTTATTTCACCTAAGTAGATATATTTCTGAGTCACCTGTTAGATTTTTCTTTATTATTTCATTTCATTTTCACTTATTTACATATTAAATTATTTTAAAAATGGTTTCTTTTATTTATATTAACTTATTTGAAAATGTATGCGCTATTTGTCATTAAAGGTTGAGTAGGGCAGCCTTCTCTATTCATTTGTAACTTAGATTTTCTTCTCGAGCACACTCAGTCAATCATTTTTCTCATGTCATAGGCAGTTAAACTTACAAAATCTGAATTAAATCATTATAGTGTATTAATCTAACGTTGACGACGTTGATTAAGACAAATAGTAGAAGAAACGAAAAGAATATGTTGCATAACCTTAAGCCAAAAAAGTATAAAATATTTACCAGATATTTAATACTGGATTTGATAAACTACCTAATGATATCTAAAGTCACAATTTCAAAAAAACAAGAAGTTTGGTTAGGAAGTGGTTGAGCAACCTATTTATTCATAGTTCTATTTATGGATATGAGGTCGCTAACTTTGATGATATTTTTTCTACCAACACTATTGATGACATAATTTAATGAAGAATTTTTAAAGTGGCTTTATCAGACTAATAAATGAAAAACAAAGCTATTTTTTGCTGTTTTCTTCCTAAAACAAATCCGAAACCGGTCGGAAGAAAACAGCAAAAAATAGCTTTGTTTTTCATTTATTAGTCTGATAAAGCCACTTTAAAAATTCTTCAATATATTACCTACAAAACACGTTAAAAATTAAATCATTGCGACATAATTTAAGTTTTTGCAATCTTTTCTTATTGAGTTAAGCTATGGAAAAACATTTATATTGCAGTAGTATCTATTATGAAACCACTTTAAAATTCATGAAATCATAAAGTTGTGTATAAGTTTAACGATGAAAAGGAGAACATTACTTGTTGACTAGTTGAACGATGATCAATCAACAGATAGTTGTCGGAGATTTTATATGAGTCTTCCTACTTCCTATAGTTTTTATGTTACATCACCGCAAACCATTAAATTTCACTTCCATTTTATGACTTTCCCTAAACACGCAAAAAAAAGTAGAATAAACCTTGTTCATCATGTCGTTGCACGTTGCTGTTGTTGCTTATATAGTACGATGAGTAAAGAAAAGACAATTTTTGATAGCGATCCAATCCCATCCAATTAGTTTTTTTATGTAGTGTCTTTTAACGTCATGTTGTTTATTTATGAAAGATTGCAAAGGTTTGGGAGGAAAATTTATATTTGAGTTTCACAACTGTCACGTTATTTGTAGGCATCAAAAATGTCCATTTTTCATCAGCATAAATGCCTTCGTCTTAGACCATTAGCTTTCCTCTCTTTTCTACTTATATTCATTATAAAAAGACAAAAAACATACGACAAAATATTCTTAAAACATGTTTTCCTAACACCCTATTAGCCATGTCTATCACCCTACACCAATCTCTCTCACTCACTCTTTTACAAGTACAAAACATGGTTTATGGTTTTTTTTTTCAATTTCCTTCAGATAAGAAAAAAAGTGAAAATGCATTTCAAAAACTTATCTCAATTAAAAAAAAAGAAGTGTATGAAAATATTTTGGTGGATAGATGTATGTCATGTGTCCAATTAAAAAATGTATTGAAGAATGTTCCATTTTTCTTCCACTTCTACAAACATTTCATTTCTTTTTAATCGGGAGAAAAAAGTGTCAAAGAAGGTTCTAATGGAAAAGAAATGGAAATTAATGATGACTTATATATCTTGCTTTGTTTTTATATATGTATATATTTTTTTTTTCTTATTCTCGTTCTGTGGCTATTGCAGGAAGTTATTCTGCCGAAAAACCAGGGACCATTAGGATTTAGTATAATTGGTGGAACTGATCATTCATGTACACCGTTTGGCGCTCATGAGCCTGGCATTTTTATTTCACATGTGAGTTACTCTATTAATTAATTTTTCTCATATAAGTATCTACATTTATTAATTTTCTTTACTAAAGATTGTACCGGAAGGAATCGCTGCAAAATGTGGCAAGCTGCGAATGGGTGATCGAATTCTGAAAGTTAATGGATCTAACGTCACTTCAGCGACACATCAAGAAGCTGTTATGGAATTATTGCGGCCATGTGATGATATTGTGTTGACAATTCAACATGATCCATTACCAGTGGGATTCCAGGTATGATTCACTTATTAATTTAACATTATTAACTTTGCCTTGTGAATAACAATGTCTGCTCCATAAGTTTCATACATGTCGACCTAAAGAATACGCTTAATGTGAATCAAAAAATTTCTTCTGCTTTCTTTTTTCCCATGCGCTTTCTCCAACCACATTGTAAAAAATATCTTTAATAATTACTTCTTCAAAGAGTTTCGTAATTGAAACGATAGAAACTGAGGTAAAATATGAATGAGTACCACTACTAAATTATCATTTATCATTATTTATGCTTAAATGTATTTTTGATGTTCATTAAACTTTTATTTGGCCATTTTTTATTCAACTCTTTTTGTTCTTTTCTTTACACAGGAAGTGACGATTGTTAAAACCGAAGGCGAACGTCTCGGTATGCATATCAAAGGGGGACTAAAAGGACAACGTGGTAATCCATTGGACCCTAATGATGAAGGAGTTTTCATATCAAAAATAAACAGTAGCGGAGCAGTTCGACGTGATGGTCGTTTGCGTGTCGGAATGAGAATTTTAGAAGTCAATGGACAATCCTTGCTGGGTGCGACACACCAAGAAGCTGTTGAAAGTTTACGATTAAGTGCCAACCGACTAAACATGGTTGTGTGTAAAGGCTACGAAAAATCAGATTTGATTCATGGAATGATTTCAAGTGGAAGCCGTTTAGGTTCGCGTGCATCTGAGACCGGATCAGAGTTGAGTCAAAGTGTTTCCAGTTTGGATCGTGATGATTTTGAAAACTCGACCGTCATTCAAAATGCTCATGCTGAAGCCATGCTTAACAAATCTGATATAGAAGTGTTCGAGGAGAAAGAACCCGTTGCTGATAATAATACTTCAGAAGAAATAACTCGATTGGCAAATGAAGTAGCGCTTTTTAGTCAAACAGAAAATGCATTGGTGACTGCTAAGGAGAAAAGCACACCAGAGAAGGTAGCCAACAATATTATTAATTGACTTAGTGAATTTTCTAATAAAAATGATCTTATTATCATTATCAAAGGTTCTTGACATTGTCAGAGCAGCAGAGTCGTTGGCATTGGGTGAGGTCGCTCCTCCAAAGTCACCTGTGGAACATCATGAGACACTTCAAAAGACTACAACCATTGTAATGTCAAAGCACACATTGGATCAACAACCCCAACAGTCAGTACGCATGACCCCATCGCCTCCATCCCAGGTAAGTCTCTTGATATCTTTGAACTTTTTTTTTTCATTTTACCTTTCATTTTTTTAATAATTTTTATTTGTGTCATCAAAAGCTTTGCTTATAAATCGTGTTTTTGAAGTTTATTTTTTAATAATGTTTTGCTGTTTAATTTTTGCGATGTGTGTAACCACGAATCATCTACGTTCTCTAGTTTTACTTTGTTAATGCTTATTTTTTAATTTTTTAAACGTGTTCTTTCTATTCTTATTACTAAGTATTCATCTACGTTATGTTTTTGTGGTGTTTGAAATTTCTTTAATCTTCAGATTTTTGCAAAAAATGTATATAAATGTACAATGGAACTTCGATTAACAGCTTCTTCGATAAACAGAAAAACCTTGATAAACAGATATTTTTTTGTCCCCTTGAATTGAATTTGTATGAAAAATTGCCTCGATTAACTGATGCACCTTCAGCCATCTGTTTATCGAAGTTCCACTGTAGTAGTTTTGTTTAACAAAAATTTCAGTAATTTGATGGCAATTATATTGGTATTATTAAAGATATTTTTACGTATTTTTTAATGGTTCTATTTGGTTTTCTGTCGTGTACGCGGCAACATGACATGAAATTTTTTTTAATTAAAATTTCATCTCTTAAAAAGATTTAAGACTTCATCGTTTTCTTAATGTAGGAAATATTTATGATGTCATTTAAGAATTCAAGAAATATATTTTTTTTCTTCAATTGTTCAAACTTTGAGCCCTACAACCGAAAAAAGAACTGGTTTTTTATTATTTTTAGGAATGATGGCATGAAAAACGTTTTAACCTTTTTCGAAGAATGAATTCTCATTACTTTAATTTTCTTGCAATTTCTTTTTTCTCTTCTTTTCTTCCTTTTTTCAATCACAAGCTGACGTCTCAGTGGCTCCAATAGTGATTTGATCACTAGAAATATTTTTCTTTAACCTTTTTGCTATTTTTTTAAAATTCAATTTATTCCGTAAAAAAATAACTGATGTTATGTAAAAATTGAAAAAATTTAAAATTCAACTTAAAGACTGAAAATAAAACGCATTATATTTACATATATAACGCATTAATTTATTTTTTAGTCTCGCTGATCGATTGAAGGAAAGATCAAATATACAATTTGGTCATTCAAGACAATCTCACATCATGTGAGAATATAAAACTTACGGATCAGATTTAGAAGAAAAAAAAAGGAATATTGAAGAAAAATTAAACGGGTCAATTTAGGAGAGCAAGAATAATGTAACAGAATGTAGCTAACAAAGTTAGATATGTGCAAAATAAAAGAAAAAAAGTTGTACGAAAAAAAGTTCATATCGGCAAATAGGGATTAATGACTGATCCTAAGTAATAAAGAAGTATTATAAGTATGGAAAGTACTATCTAACAATAAATGATGAGAAAAGTGAATTAAAATAAAAAACATGAGAAAATAATTTCATTTAATTGTGGTGTGGCGATATCGAAATATCTTATATTTTATGATGGATTCATCAATATTAACGTCAACTTGGAACACAATTGTCATTATCAATTGTATTGTGTCATATATATTTTTCAAGAAATAATTTTAAGTGAACTGCCATATCGACGCCATTGGATGTGGAAAATAAGAATTACATATAAATATTTTCAAAACCACGTCAGAAAATTTCCCTAATATAATAAGTCGTGAAATAATAGATACATATGTATGTTGAGTATTTATTTCTTGATGTTTTATAATGTTTTTGTGTATTAAAAACTGTTTAATCGAAAACAAATGATAAGAAAAATGTTTGTCAATTTATCGAAAGAGAAAATGTTACGTGCTTCAGTTGATAATGAAATAAGGCAAGAAAATCGAATATACGAAGCTAACATTCAAACATTTCCATATATACTTTCTATCAACTTTCTTGGAAAATATTTTTGTGACATTAATTTTATCATCGTATCTTGCGTGATGAGAATATAAACTACTTTATTGACACATTATTTAATAGTCACACAATTGACACGTAATAAGCAATACAGTTTGAGCGAATACAGTATCTTCCTATATTTACCCCCATATTGAAACTTCTATGTACAAAAATGTGCACTCATACTTATGATTCACTGTTGAATATTTGTTTCGTAGCTTTTTGTTGTCAATCAAGTTTTATTTCAAAAGTTGATTATCCTAACAATTGGATTAGACCAATAGATGCTGAATACTTTCTTTCTTACATAAAAAAAAGCTTAAAGATCAAATATTTTTACAAATGTATCAATAAAGTATTTTCTTTGGACCAAAAATAACTACACGAACTAAAATCATGCTAAGTATATAAGATGATGGAAAAAAAATTTAAATAAAAACTATAAGATCATAAAATTGTTGAAGTGAATTTATAACTGTAAGAGATTAATATGTGAAAAGTTTAAAATAACGTTATTTAAAAACAAATGCCTTCCATCCAACTCTTCTTTTTGATCAAGTAATTCTATAAAGTTCTTGTTTTGAAACTGACTAACATTATTATATTATATTATAACAGGGTAAACAAATGAAAATCATTGAAGGTAACTGCAACTCAACATTCTTCACAAAAAAGAGAAAAATGATCTGGATTTTGACGCAGTTTTTTATCGATTACACTAGCTGAATTTGTTATAAAAAAGCTTTTTAAGGGAATACATTCTAAAGCATTTAAAACAAGTTTCGATGGTTTAGGGTTGATTGCTCGGTTTCCATTCCAAAACAGTTTTCCCCTACTTTCCCCTCATGATTCTAATTTCTCCTTCGCGTTGGAAACTTCCATGAAAGTTTAATGTTTCATTAGCTTCCAAGCAATTCCATATCTCTAATTCTTCAAGATTTTCAACTTTCTTTCCAAGTTTAGGGGAAAAGTTTTTATATCCGGAAAGAAAAAAAAACACCTGAAAGAATGAAACTTATCATTGTGTGTGACAAGATAAATCCACGCAATACTTTTAAGGTTCGAATCACTAAGTCTCTTGGATGTAACAAAGAAAGAGTTGTAAAAGAAAACGAAATTTATTCACATATTGGTTTATATGTTTGCAAAAATTGATTCCATGAAGAAGAATCATTATTCTACTGACGTAATCACCATGAAATTGAATTAAATGAACACACTCTTTATTTTTAATTCTCCCCAATTTTTTTCATCAAAAAATTATTTTCATATCCGTTTTTTTTAATTCCATTTTTTTTTATTGTAATCTGATATTTAGGCAATAATCTGCCTGTATTATATCAGCTAGAAAAAATTACAAATTCTAGGAACTAGAATAATCTTGATTACAATTAATTTGAAAATAACATTATGATTTTGTGGTTATCACAAATCAAGCTAAATATACGAATATACTCAAAGTTATTTAGAATTCTGATATAATGAAATAAGTAACATTAAGTTTTAAATTTTTGAGTTTTTGAATTTATATTTTCTTGTAAGTTTTCTTATTAATTTTTTCATTAAAGATGTTCAGTTACTTTGAGATATTTCCGTTTATGGAAGGCACTGCCGCTAGATTTTCTTTTCGATATAATTTTTCCCTTTCTACATATATTTTGTTTGTAACGTGATGCTATATTTATTTATGAGGAAGATACAAGATTCATGTGAATTTGCATCATTAGAAAAAGAAACGTTTCAGAAAAAAAACAAATTAATGAAAAAAGAATTGCAGAAAAAATTCTATATCCCGATTTACAACCTAATTGCAAAGCCCTCATCCGGAGATTTTTAAATAAGATAGTTTTTTGATAATAATATCTAATAATAATAATTTTAAATTATTACAACTCAACCGAAGTTTGTCAAATATATGCAAACATATTTTCGTTTTCATCTTGTTTGCTCTTCCATTGCATTACGAAGAAAGCGAAATGTAAAGAATATTTTTCGTTATACACCCTCAATTTATATCTGTATATAATATACAAGATTTATTTAGACATTGTAAACACTTGCATATATTTTTTCTTCTGGAATGTCGATTTTTCAATTTTCCATCATGCAGACTTTTTCAATACCCTTTTTTACTTTGAAAACATTTTCATTTTATTTACTTTTCTTTTTCGTTCGTCTTCGACGTAACCAATAAGTAAATGTTTACCATTCTGTAATTAAATGAACAAAGAAAGGGTTTTCTGTCAGATGCGGGTTGAAGCAAGTAAACAGAAAAAGCGATGGTTAAGAAAAATTTGAGATTACAAAGTTGGAAGCGGGATTGAAGCTTCGTCATTGTTTTTGCTGCTACTTTCAAAGCAGATTCACACAAATCTATTGTTCTCGAGTAACTCGGAGTCTACATTTCCAAAATTTTAATCATATTTATTCTGTTGAGATTTTCCTTACTAAGGTATTTGTTTCATTTAGTTCTAATATTGCTAAGTCAAAACAGTTGACAGAAAATTTTGGATTCAAAGCAGTCATTTTAATTTTTATTGCCGAATGAATTTGATCAAAGAATGAGAAAGAAAAAAAAAAAATTTGTAACTTATTTGTAAAATAAAAGAAAATCTAAAAAATGTGTTTACTACAATGAAACATAAAGTTCTTCTAAGTAGGAAAAATAAAATGGAGGTGGAAATTGTAAAAGAACAAAACATTAAAATTCGAAACATGAATTTATTGTTTTCTTTTTTGAAAAGATGAAAAGTTCTTTTTCTAATTTCAGACAATTTTCAGATTTTTCGAGCTTTTTTTTGCATTATTTGCTTTTAGCAAATATATATATGTATATAATGTATATTGTATACTGATTATATACATATATATAAGAAGGAATAATTGATAAAAATCATTGGTTTTTGTGAATAAATTAAGGAAAAGGTAATAAACTTCGAAAAATTCAAATTATTAATCGTTTTTAATTATCGTTATTTGTTTTTTTTTGTTCAAATATGAAATTAAATTGATCGCTTTAAAGCTTTAAACTCAAAACCGCCATCAATACTCGAGATGAATTTCAACTGTTTTTCTGAAAATTTTCTTTATTTGTCAACCATTAATTAAAGTTTACTATAGAAAACTTGCATAGAAATAGAGTCATGAGATTAACGTGAACACCTAGGAAGTTTAATTATGATTCACACAAAATTTTCTCCGCTTTTACATGTACATATTTATGAGGGGATTATGAGTGTGGTTTTGAGGAAGGCAAGATAATTATGTTTTCATGTTAATACGCATTAATTTACGTTGTGTTCATAGTACTCATTATGTTTATCACATTTTCGAAATTTATTCACATCTTGGGAAAAATAATTTTCCAATTGACATAATTTCTGTGATTTTCTTTATTTTAAGTTCTCGTTTTAGAGCGTTATCTTTCAAAAGAAGGTTGAAATTATTTCTCAATTTTGTTCATAACAATACTTTATGTGATGTCGATTCTCATCAAGTTTCATTTTTATTTACGAATCAATTCATTCATCCATTTTTCACAGTTTTACTTTCCACTCATATTTTTTCTTTTTTGCTTTTATTCCAAATAAATGTTTTTTGATTCAATCGATATATCATTCACTAACTTTTAAACATTTTTTTTATTATTATCCTTTTCTTGATACGTACTTGCCTCGTATACTTAAACACCTTCATCTGATTACTCAAAAAAAAACATGAAACTTCATTGAAAATACTTATTTCTGGACACGGATCTTCGTGCAAAATGGAAAAATAAAATCTTATTGAGTGTGTAGCAGGCCGATATCCTACAACCAGCTGGTGGGTTTAGCAAACTGAACGCTAATTCCGTTAACCTTTCCAACACCTATTCACATACAAATACAATTCCATCATCAACAACAACATCATCATTGCCTACAATTGTTAATCAAACGCATGTTCAGATAATTCCTACGACTTCTAATACATTTTCTTCGGGTTCTGATTCTTTTATGAATAATAATAATAACATTACCAGTAAGAAAATTAAATCCGACACAACCAAACATCAGCTCCCGTATGTTTCTAGTAATGTCGATGATTTTTTGAATAACAATGCCAAGCTACAATCAAATCAAAAAGTGAACGAAGTCTCGCCAACAATTAAAAATGACGACAATTATGAGCCTTACACCCGACGTGATTTCCGAATGGATTTGTCGTCCACGTCTGATAAGACGCTAAACGAGTCAAGTTCAGGATATATCACGTCGCCAAACGAAAATGAAAACTCAAGGAAAATAATACAAAGCGATTCGGAAGAACAAAAAAGTATAATAAAAGCTCGCGAAGCAGATTCTTCGTCACCCGGTGATTCACAGTCAGGACGAAATACTTTATCAAACTACAGGAAATCAGTGAGTTTTGATTTGGATGTTGAAGAGTATACGACGAAGACTAATCCCGACGATGATGTTGAAAACCTGCACATCGACAAATATGATGATGAAGACGTTTTCTTTGAGAAATCCCATTTGCATCATCACCAGCTGCAAACTGAACCCAAGAGGATTAAAGGAATTTTGAGATCTCCAAGCCCAAGTATTTACTACAAAGGAAATGTTAACAGACAAGTTCCTGTTGAGAAAGAATACATCGAAGACGATGACGTTGATGATGAAAATCCTTTCCGGAAAGAATACTTGTCACAAGAAGAATTGAATGCCAGCGAAGATGAGCCGTTGACAGTTCCAAGCGTCATTTCCGATATACATCCTCCGGATGTTAGCTATCATTCAGTTCATCGAAGCTTTGAAAACTTGAACAAACCATCAACGTCAAAAATTCCCATAAAAAAACCAACAATCTTTAAATCAAGCGGAAGCTTAGTTCATAGACCGAAAATTCCACCGCCAAGACCGCCTCAACCCAATATCAAAGTAGCGGAGATGGTCAGAAATCAGGGATTAGAGCGAATGAGTCAAAATATGGAAGAAAAGGATTTTTTAGAATTCGTTCACAACGCTGATACAAATTCTATTGAAGAAGTTAAGGACAGAAGTTTTTTTGCCCCGGATGATCCTTTCGGCGGTGAAGGATTTACAGGTGGTGGTTCTTTATTCTCCAAACATGGGAGTAGCTTTAATCGACCCAAAGCAGGTCAATCACCACCTCCAGCACTCGGAAATTTTAGATCGACCGAAGAAATTCTTGAAATTTTACCTGCAAAATACGACACATTACCGAAGAAACAAAAACCATATTATGTGAATGAAAATTCTGCGAACAATATTTTGGTTACGGAAGATGAACATCGTAAAATATTACTGACGGAAAATGAGATGCGAAATGCTCTTTTGACTGAGTATGGTGATGAAAAAACTCATTCAAATAATGATAAGCTGATTCCTATTTTTTCTCCCACAAATCCGTTTTTAAATGATCCTTCCCCATTTGATTTCAACGAAAGCTTCGAGAGCTCTCCAACAAATATTTTATCACCAGTTTCATCTTTGCAAGCGAAGTCAGTGAATACAAATTCAAGCTTTGGGCAATATATCTCCCAACATCAAGGTTCTCAACAAAATATTCTCCCCCCACCAACTCAAGTCCTTCCTGTGCATTATGGACAATTACCAAAGCCTCAACATGCTGGGTATTATCCATTAATGTCCCATCAATATCCTGTTCATAAAAATGCGCCTTCAACAGGTTTCGTTTCACCACAACTTCCAAATCAACCATACATTCAACAACCAGCAATTTCTGAATCATCTTTTTACAATATTTATGAACAACAGCAGCAACATCCCAATCAACAAAGAACTCTTTTGGTGAGTGGTGATGGTCAAAATAATTTCTATGTTTCTCATAACGTAAATAACAATGCAAATAATCAAAAATGTCAACAAAAACAGCATCAAACATTATTAATGCAATCGGCTTACGAGCCATCGCCACCAAATCAAATAGCAATGCAACAATTGCATTCTCATTATTCGCCAAGCACGCATTTAAATCATATTCAACCGCATATAATTTATGATCAACATCAGCACACGCACCAACAATATCAGCAGCTTAGTGACATACATAATATGAAAAATAATAATATTTTTGAATATTCGTTGCATCAGCATCAAAATATTATTGATTCAACTTCGGAATTATCTCCGATAAAAATTAATCAAATTCCTCAAAATTTTATCTATTCATCGAATAATTCCAACGAGGCAAAGCCGTCGATGAGTTCATTTGGAAAGCATACTGAGGTTTAAAAACTTTTTCTTTAATTGTTGAGAGCAAATGAAAAGTTGATATTTTTTAAATTCTCCATCTATATCGAACTTTTCAGGAACTTTCAAACTGATTTGATGTATAACTAATAGAATGAATGTACCTACTTTATTTAATTCTATCATTTTGAGACTTTATGCAAATTAAGGGTAAACTATCTAAATTATTTTATCAAAAAAAAGTTAATTTTAATACAGCTATATTTATTAGAGGCTTTTATATTTAAATATTTTATGAGTTTAAAACTTAATAATTATAACACAAACTAGGATGAATTTTATCCTATCTCTTTCTTTACTTACAAATTTTAAAGGATGGCATAAATGGTAGTGAATAATTTGGAATTAGCTTTAAGTTGCACTAACTCTATTTTAAAGCAAAATTTCACTTTAACAATGTAGCAAAATATTTAAAGGTGATTGATTTAAATTTAACAGCACTTTTTGTAACAGTTAATATATTTATCTGAATAACTTGATTATTATCAGACACACATCACAGAAAAATATGCGTAAGAAATAATAATATTAAAATAATATAATCTTTGAATTTGTGAAGCAAGAATAAAAAAATTGAACAATGAAAAAGCAATTTTACATTATCAAACTGAAGAGTTTTCAATTTAATGTTGTGATTGTCTTCGCCATTCTTTCAATTATTTTTCATTTTTCTAATTATTTAACAAAAGTAAGTGACTCGTGGCAAGTGACAATCAAGTCGTTTATCTTCATAATGGAAACTCCACTTTTAATCTTTTTTACGGTTTCGAATATCTTAGGCGCGATCTTAATTCAATTTTAATGAAATCGAGTTTGTACAACGACATTGATTTCGTTTTTTTAACTGACATTTCTTTCTTCTTTTCTTCGATTTGCTTTGATACATTTTAGTCGCCAACACCGCCAGTATCGGCTTGCACACCTAAAACAGTCTCCGATAAAAAACGATTCTTCGAACACGTCATGGAAGATCAACAAAAGCCTACACCCAAATCAGGTAAATTTATATTTTCAGATAATTTTTCAGCATTTATTGATGCTGTTTCGTCCACATTTCAATTTAAAATCCTTTAATACTTAAGAGATTTTCTTATCAAAACTTTTGTTTCCTGTACAAGGGTTGTTTACTATTTCTTTTTCTTTCTTATTTTATCCACGTGAAGCTCAGAAGCTTTTATACTCTCTGTCCCTCTTTATCCGTTAATTTATAACGACAGTTCAGGAATCCTTTTCTCGATTTTTTTTTCATGCTTGACATAGATAAAGAAGAGTAGAGTAAAAAAAGAAACGAACAAACAAAAACATTTTCACATTTTATCCGAAAGCTCCTTTAAATTCTTCAAAACATTTTCTTCTCTCGTGAATAAAAAATATTTACAATAGCCCTGACGTGAAGCAGAATAGAATTATTTTGAATAATCTGGTTTAATTTTACTTATGAGCTTGAGGTAAGCAGAGAAAATATTTGTGCTTTCAGTTAAAATATTTTTTCGGTTTGTTTCCCATTGTTTGTTATTTGTTTTTTCTTCTGTCTTCTTTTCTCCTTCATTCTTATTCAGAAAGCGATGGAATACTCTAAAAATGATCTTCCGTTCCAAATAGAAAAAGCAGAAGTAAAAGGACAAAAAACAATTTGAATAAGCAATCGTGAAGGGTTCAGTTCATATTTCAACTGTATAAAATGCTTTAACGTATTTATTATTGTTTTACTTGCCAATTTTCTGCCAATCTAAATGTCTTAAAAGTAGCTTTCTTAGTTAGTTAAACTTTCCATAAATAATTTAGAATTTTTTCTTGGTGATTTTCTCAAACGTACAGTTTTTCAAATAGTTTTTGTTATTTATCAAAGAGGAAAACAGGCAGAAAATGCAATTGGAAAAAAGTTTAATTTAAGTCATGTGGCTGAAATATTTTTTAGCTTTCCTTTCACGAATTTTTTTTTGACGAAAATATCGGGCAATGAGAGAAAACACAGAAAAGCTGATTCATTAGAGGAGTAAATGGGGCTTATTTAAATGTTTTGCATCATTGCTATTTTCATGGGAGTTTTATATTACAATGAGATTTAAAGATTTTCTAAAATTTATATTGTGACATGCAAAGAGATAATTCCAAAAGCAAGAAGTATCCTGGGGAAGAAACTTTAAGATTCTGAAATAATGAGATGAAAGACCTAAAGCGATGGGAAAATTTCAATCATTGAATACTAATTTGATGCCGTTGATGCGAGGGTATAAGAATCTCATGGGATTGAGCACGAGATTTCGTAAAGTTTTTATGTTATCGAAATGGTATATTTATGCAACTTTTTTATTGCTTAAACAATCTATATCCATTACTCTGAATTAAAAGTACACTTTACTTGCCTATAAATTTTATCCGGTTCATTCTTATCTACAATATTCACAAAAATGTAAAATACAGATAAGAAAAAAAAACATTTATCGAAGAATGATTAAGAAAAACTTTTTTTATCTAATTCATTTCTTCTTATTTCAATTTTTTCATTCATTTTCACCGATCATTCTATTCAATTTGAATAATTGCTGCATTGTGCTGCTTGGAACATATCGGAAACATGACATCATCAGAGAAATCATTTTCGTTTCTTTCTGCCGATGAGATTGAAAAATTAAAACAGGAAAATGAGAAGAAAATTGGAACAATTACACGAGAAAATAAAAAAAAATTGTCAGCAATGATGAAAACAACTACAAGCGACAATATAAATAATAACGATCAATTCGATAGTGATGAGTTTTATCACAATGAGAATTATATTATGAGTCATCAAGCTGACGAAGAAGAAGATGAAACTAACGGAAGGTAAGTCGTCGTCCTTTTTTTAAACATTTGTTTATTGCTTCTGGTCATAAATGTAGCAGAATTAAATTAACTAAGCTTCGCTCGGTGTGTTTCTCTTCTTTTTGTGGCAATTTATGCACAATACGTGATGCCATTCGTCTATTTTTTTTGTCCTCTCTACCATTTTTTAATCTATAGTATTTTTGTCATGTTAGAAGGTTAAATGATTTAAACTATCAATCTGAGAATTCTAATGGAAAGGAAATCAAAAATTGGAATACAAAAAATCTTGCATTCAAAAATTTGTGTTGGAAAAACAAGTTTATTTTTAAGTGTTTTTGTATCAGCTTGAAGCTTCATTCAAGAGCAAGGAAAGCATTCTCTGATGTGAACCTTTTTCAACTGGTGTCAAGACCAAGTATTTATTCTTTAATACGTTTCTTTCCTTCTCCTGCTATACTTTTACATTCAATGGTTACAAAATAAGTGAAAAAAAAAACAAGAGAAAAAAGGAAAGTCTCGTTTGATATTTTTTTATTGAAGCATTTGTTGCACGATATGTAGTAACATTAAGGAAGATATGTAGAAGTAATGAAGAAAGCTAAAAGGAAAAATCGATGAAAAGCTCATTGTTACATACAAAGGAGGAGAGAATTTTGTAGCGCAATTTAAATGCTTTTGTTGCAATTCTCAAGTGAACGCTTCAAAATTCAACAAAATTTTATGATAACGTCAATCTTGTTTTTTTTTTGTGTAAATATTGCCAAGTTTTGAATCACAATCTTGAGCTTTCAGTTACGGAAAATTGTTTCACTCCTTTTGATTGATAGAAGGAAGCATATGCCTGTGGCTCTCGTTCCCACACATACATAAACAAAAAATAATCAAGTCTCATTTCACACCTACATAGAATAGTCATGGAGATTCAATGAAATCGGAATCTCAACTATAAGTGTTATTCTCAGTTGTCAAATGTTTGATTACATATATGAAGGGTGAGAATATGTTATGCGGGAACAACTGGTTGTTAAAGGAAGTTTTTTTATGCTGACATTTCTTCTTTTATGATCTATGCTATATAAATCGATTTCAAAATTTTAATAATCAATAAGATAATGGAAATTTAAAGTTTCTTAAGCAAATTTGAGTGAACTTCATGTTGAGGATATTTCGCAAAATAAAGCAGAAAATAATAATAAAATGTTCTCATTATTATTAAGCATTTTCATCTGTAAATAACAATAAATTCATGTAAAGAAACTTTCAAAATCTTTCACATGATAAATACTAAGAATCTCAATTTTCTCAGGAATTCAAAATTTGGTTGATTTTTGTTCTTGCTTTAACTTTAAGCAGAAAGAAGAGAATTAATTATGTGTATAAATAGTTAATTAAGCTTTTTTCTATTCTCTTATTGTAACATTTATGTGTCTGTGTCTGTTCAGCTCTCATTAGCGGAAAGTTTGTCTGGTGATTAAACATGAATTGCTAATTGGTTTTTTATTTCCTTTCACTCACCTAGATTCGAACATGGAAAATTGTAGGATTTCTTACGTCCTAATTAACCACTTCCTTGTATTAGCTAACCTTTTCATCATCTTCAATGTGTTGTTATTGTCGATAATTTGTTATTCCTTTCCAAATTCTAGCATCTTTTTATTCTGTTTTTTTTTCCTTTATTTTTACATATTTTATTTTCTTGCTATTTTCTTTCTCTTATTTTTTTTAATTTTTCCAACAGAAATCCCTTGGAGCAACTGGAGGCAGTATTCAGGAGTTAAAAAGTAGTTTTAATTAACAGTTTAACACACAAATCAACATTTGAATTTTTAACGAGAGAGAGATACAGAAACCAAAAAAAAACTTCTTTCCTTAAATATATTTTAAGAATAAAAGAAAAATTTCATTTATTTTTGAACGAAATTTTATCACCTTCTCATTTCAATCTTTAGGAATTAATTTTTACTTTTTCATTTCACGCTTTTTATCGGAATTTAAAATTTTGTAGACGTAGATTCATAATTCATATCACGTATTTAGTTTTCTTTTTGTTCTATTCTCTGTTTTTCAACTTATTTAGAAAAGTAGCAAGAAAGGGAAAAATAATCTTTTAAGATGTGTCCAAAATTGGAATCTCATTTTGACAACTAAGAACTAAAAATACAATTTTGCGAAAGTCTTTTTTCTATGTTTTATTTTTCATTTGATATTTTGGTTTTTGCTACATTTTCAATCAACAAAAAACTGGGAACAGTTGCTGTTATATCAAATTAAATTATTTGTCATTCACTTATTAAGTTTTTTAATTTAAGCTTAACATAATTTAACCATTCTTTTCTAAACTAAACACCAAAATTGAAAAGTATTGAAAGGATTAAACATAGAGGACCAAAGCAAACTTCCTTTAATTAAATATTTAGGAAAAGAAAACAATTAGAATGAACAACATATTCTCTATACAGTGTACCTACCAATTGTGAATACAATTCATTCAGATACGGTTTTCTTTGATATTTTACATTTTTTGAGTTCAAAATATTATAGAGAAGAAGAGTAGATAGTGTAAAGTACTTCTCTAAAAAGCTTTGAGTTAAAAAAAATGTAAAATAGCGAAGAAAACTGTGTCCAAATAAAGTGTATTCACAATTTGTAAGTAGACTGTAATCAGAATATGTCGTTACCATAAATGTTACAATAATGAGGTTTAATTATTCTCATCTGTCTCATTTCATACTAAATAATATATTTTTTTAATGAGAAGAACTCATTGATTCCAGAAATTGCTGAAATTTTCTTTCCAGTTCATGTAACATGATGCAATTTTTTTATTAATATCTCTCACATACGAATTAAATAATTTATTTACAATTGTAATATTGTAAGATAATATCTAAATATCAATAAAAATAAAACATAATATTTCTACTGTGTACATAGAATAAAAGAAATAAAAACTTTTCGTTAAAATATTTTCATTTTTTAATTTAAATTTCTTAGATAAAATAAAATAACATTAATATTGAAAATCATAGAGAGAAATATATTAAGAAAATATCGCTTCTTAAATTATAAATTTTATTCCATATAAAATTATATCTTAAACTTGAGGCCTTTTCGTTTCTACAGCCATTGCTCCTTGTGAGTTCTATCAATCTTAAAACTAAATTTTCTATTTTTCATTGAATTCTCGAACCATTTCTGATTGAAATCATTCATAAAAATTTAGTTTATTCATAACGTTTACTCGTTTTCATTTAATTGATAACTTTTAAAATTTGACTTGTAATCTTTTCCTAGCTTGTTTTTATTTGTCAAATATTTTTACCAATTGGGTTATAATAAAATCTATGAACTGTAGGAAAATTGAAGAAAACAAAATATGTAGTTTAACAAAAAAGGAGTTCTTTTATGGAATTTCAAACTAAATTTTAAGATTGATAGTATTCAGATATTATATAATTTTCACTTTATATTGTAAATTGCTCAAAAATCTGAATTTCGTTAATCTTGAAGAATTTGGTGTTTTTTTACTTTTGAACTGCGTGGAAAGATTAACATTAGTCCGTGTCAAGTTCGCTTGAAGTGAATAAGTTATTAAATAAGCATCAGGTGTATTAATGGAAAAATAATTCGAAATCAAACAACGTACATACATGTATGTTGTAGTGTTGAGCAAAAAGGGAGTATTGGCAATATGTACTTAGAAGAGTGGTAAAAATTCAACAATGAATTTAAGACGACATTTTGAAAAATATTTACGTTGATATGTACATTGATTCAGTTTAAAAATCAGACAAGTTTGAAACTGATTTTATCATCCGTATTTTTTCATGTATGAAAGTTTTCACTATTTAAAAAAAATCATTTTTCGTTTTTGTTGAGGAGCTTCAGGCTTATATTAAAGTGTTGGGAAATATTTATATTTCTGTAAATGATCTCGGAACTAACAAACTCTGAAACATTAAATTGGAATTTTAGTTGACTTAAAGAAGATGCAACAAAGCATCAAAGATTTATGAGTCCATAATAAGCGACTTCAAGTTTTAAGATTATCATAGAATTTCATCACCTTGCTAGAAAAGATGGTGCATAAATAAATATAAACATGCCTTATATACTTTTCTCATCGAACATAAAAGAAAAAAGAGATGAAAAAAGTTTGCAGAGGATTTTTTTTTATATTGTGTAGGCGAGCGTAAGGTGAACTGATGCTTCTTTTAAATTCAACAAAAGCATGAAAAAAGAAAATAAAAAGATTTTTCTAGGATTGATATGAAAGAAAATCAGAAAGAGGGGTAAAAAGTTTATTCATCAACGTATGTGAAATAAATTAAACGAGATTTTTTGGATAGAATTTTTTTATTAAAGTATGAGACTGAAATTGACTACATATAAATGCAGTTTCATTCATTAATTCAAAAATTTCCAGTTGGGGAAAAGCAACCCAATTACATACACTTGCTGTTAAGATTCAGACAACAAAATTAAAAAATCTACGCTACTACACTTTCATTTAAACAAGAAATTTTCATCGCATTCTAAAATGATTTGAACAAAAATCTAAATCTTCAGTTTTTTATTCAATACGAGTTTGTTTCTAATGTGTACGGATCTCTATTGGTGATATCCTTCATACAAGGGTAGGTAAAACGAACTTGTAATTATTCTCAAACATTACCTAGTAAAAAAATAAAGGAAAGAAGAAATCTTAGACTTTATTCCAATCACAAAAATACAAAATCAAAATGAATTTTGTTGTCTTCAATATCTATTTGTCAAGTTTCGTTCTTTCTCATTTTTGTTTAAAGCTCAAATGTTCGTCATGAAATTTTAAACAACAAACGTGACGAAACTTTCCATGCTCTCCATTTTAAGATGAAATTTAATCAAAAAGCAAGTTTCTTATGAAATCCCGGTAACGTAAAAAAGAAAATGGAAAGAGAATAATCGATAATTAGATATTTCATTCACTTATCTATCGCGATCACGTCTTAATAGATAGATAGATAGATGTATTTATTATTACCTGTATTGGTACTTTTCTTTTCAATTCTTATTCGAGTTTAAGTCAAGAGAGTTGCTTATACATTAAGTGACGACATTGAAAGAGGGAAAAATGGAGAAATCAAAAGTCGTGGTCTTGATATGTACTGTTCAATCCTAAATTCTATCTCCATTTTGACTCAAAAAGTATTTCGATTGTATCATTCAGTGATTAGCAGGTGCTTCGTTTCTCACGTATTATCTCGTTTACACACAAGTGAACGAGCAAATAGAATGAGAAAAAGGTTTATATGTCGTTTCAATATTTTTCTTGTGCCCTTTTAAAGCAACAAGATGATTAGACGAATTAAAGTGGTTAAAAGGGATTAACATTTCAAAGTTCGAAATTTCCTGATTATTCGTGTGAACAAAACTGAATCAACATTGAGTAGGATCGTTTCGATGATGAGATGTATATAATGAATATGAAATTTTATTTTTCTTGTTTTTAATACTTTATAAAAATACTTTATAGAAACGCACACAACTTTCACGTTTTATAAGTCAGAATAGAAAACTCTTTTCAACATCTTTCTCTCCAGTTAAATTATGAAATTTGCTTCAATCAATTACATATTTTTTTTCTTCCTTCATTATTCAATCAAAATCATCATAACGCCTTCGTGGTATTTCTCAAAAATGAAGCAATGAATTGATAGAAAAATAATTTCAAAAAGAAAAAGTCAAAATGAATAAACAAAATTGTTTTCGTATCATTTAAAATTTAAAACAATAATTTTTTGTTTATTTTATTTGTATAGTAAAATTGTTTTAAATATTCTTCACATTATTTATTCAAAACAAACGAGAGCAAGCAAAAATATATCCGAACCCAGTTGTGTTTATTGAATTGAATTAGTCATTGCTAAAAAGAGAAGGAAATTAAACTGAATTCTCTAATTATCTACCAGAGCACGTGGGATATGAATTTTTTTTTCATTCCATATTTAAAAAATGATAAGTCTTCATGCTTTTTGAACTAAATAAAAAAGCAACCCTCAATTAAATCTTATTAAACTATTTTCAAAATTCGGAAAAAAATGGAATGAAATATTTATATTTCAGGTCGACTTCACCATCAAAACCTCAAATTCCCATAAGCCGAATTCCAGTAAGGACAGCAAATGCTGAGAAGCGTGCTCGTGAATTGGGACTGATTCAAGATGTAGATGAATCAAAATTAAGCTCATCGGAATTGAGAGCCTTGAGGTAAGTTAACTAATTACATATGTCAACAGCATTTGCGCAAGATGTGACTAGCAAAATTCCCTTTAAACCCTTACTCAAATCTTAACTTCTGTATTCGTATAACATTTCATATATTTTTTAAATAAAACTAAATCCTTCTCTTTGTTGTGTTTTTATTTGTGTGCCGTTTTTGAATTTCTGGAGGATTAATTTTAATGTCTTAAATTCAACTCTAGGGTTTCCGAAAAATCAAAAGTTTTACTTCAAATTGAAAAAAGAAAACTAAGAGGATGAAGAATCGTGTAGGACTAAACTGGAAATAAATTGAAATAATAAGAAGGAAAAATTAAATCGCTTCTAGAACGACGGGAAAAAGAATCCCACCCATGATTAATGTGAAATTAATTTTTAAATATTTTATCCTGCTTCTCATGAGCTTTCCCTATGATGTTTCCTTCTTTATATTTTTGGGAGTATTCTCATCTTGTTTTTCTCTTTCATCAGTGCCTAAGAGACTCGCTTTGTTTCAATACCAGGCTGATAGCACACTGCACATTCAACAAACAATCCACTTCATTTCAAAAGAAAGAGATAAAACGGAAGAAAATTTATTTTTATGTTTCCCAACTCACATCATGTGAAGGATGAACAGTAGCAAGAAGCAGTTCAATGTGTGTGATGTATGAAAGATTAAACCTTCGTGAAGCAAATCGTAAAATTTTATTAAAATGAAACGTTTCTCGTTTAATTTCTTTGTCATTTTTGAGTGTGAAGTGAGAAGATTTTTTTATTTTTCTTTAGTTACTTACCTAGTTGACTTCACTCGGTGGCAATAAGTATTAAAAACGCTCAACGCTTTGTTCAACGACATTCCAACTCAGAATGACTTCTTTCGCATTTCACTTTCCACTTAATGTGACACGAGGTGCTTTTCATTAAAACAATTTATGATACAATTAAAAACAAAAAGCGTTTAGAATTGTCACGAGAAATAGGGGAAATTTTTGCTTAGTTATTTTTCGTAAGCTTCATTAGTTTACAAATTTTACAAACCATAAAATTAAATGACACAAATGCTCCAATTTTTTTCTTTTTCTTCTGTTCCTCGTTTCATTAGAAAAAAAACTTTGTTTTCTTTTTCACATCCGAAGCGGAACGAATGTCATAATCAGATTTTTAAATGTGTCTAAAAATTAATGAAGTGTAATGTTAACACTTTCATTCGAAATTGTCTGAAAATTTCACTTCACGTCAAATTATATTGAAGAAAAATGGAAGTATTACAATATATATTTAATGAAGATTAAAGCAGCTTAGATATTTTGCTTTAAATATTTAGGAATTTAAAGAGAATTTCTGAGAAGAAAATTCAATAAAATTACCTAAAATAAGAAAAAGTAGTCCTTAGAATAAAAACAAACGCATAAATTCTCTTTTTAGGCTAAATGGCTTGTTTTCAGCACATAATTTTCCCGGAAAGCGACGATTAGCTTTTGGCAAACGACAGCAAAAGTTTTAGAAATTATTATATATCCTCGACGAGGCGTCACCAAACTTTATCCACCGATTAACCAACAGAATATTTTGCAAGCCTTCTTATGCCTTTTCGGTTTTGATCATTTCTTAACTCAGCATTTTTTTTTGTCTTTGATATTTCATGTAAATCTATTTGTTCTTCTTTTTTTTGCATAACCAAGCGAATAATTTTTATGGTATCACATATAAAATATTTGAGAATATATGATCAGTGAAAATAAATTTGTTATCAAATTTTTCTCATGTTTATTAGTTCAGACGCGCTGTGTAGCTTTTGTTTAGTAGATAACGTGACGACTATCGGTTACGTAAGAGTTAGTAAAACTGACCTTAAACGTATTTAAATTTCTCTTTGTAAAAGAAAAGAAAACGCTGACAGATATCAACCTTAATGAACATTGATATTACTAATGCTTTTCGTTTTTATGATTGTCAAAGGTTTCTTACAGGATATTGAAGCCTCTTGTGACATCTCTGTTGAACTCTGTCCATCACCGTTAAATCAGCAACGAGGCTGAAGCTAAAAAAAATTCAAGAAAAATATCTGTATAATACTCAAGTGCTAAATATTAGCATTCTCAGCAGAATTCATGTGTTTTCCTTTCATTCGAATCAACACGAGAGATCTAAAGCGAAGATGAGAAAATGAAATTTGTAGTCGAGCGAATATTTCGAGTGGAATAATAAATTTTATTCCTTATTGCCCAACGAACTGTTTTTATTTTACTTGCCCCAAAAAAACGAGAATTTCCTTTTTTCCTTGCGTATTTCATTTTCATTTGCCATTATGAACATGTGCTTCATGACTTTCATGTATTTATAGGGCGGAAAAGCGAGCTGCCTGGCGTCAAGCTCGTCTGAAATCGCTTGAACAAGACGCATTGCAAGCTCAGATTATGATACAGAGTCTAAACACTGACAGTGATGATGTATTGGATCCAAAGCAAAGAAGAATTAAAGACACTTTAGATGGCGTTAAAGAAGAAGAGGTGAGTCTCTTAAAATGAATACAATTCAAGTCAAAAACTGCTGACAATTCTCTCCTTCCACTTTTTACTTCACTCACTACGATTTCTTCCTGTTTTACTTTGTATTTTATTCCTAATTTTCATATTCTTTGTAATTAGTAAGTAGTCATTACATAAGAAAAGTAAAGAATGGAAGTTTTTACATACATGTCTAAATAGCTGAAAAAAGCTATATAAAAAGAGAAAATCTCTGCAATTATATAAGCAAAAAAAATCAAAAGGAAACAGAAAATTTTTGAATATTAATTTAGCAGAAAAGGATTTTCTAACGCAATTTTTTTCTTAATTCATTTTTGTTGAGTATTTTCATTGATAACTCATATTCTGTTTTCCTCTTCCTTGTTTTAAAAAAGTCCTTTGAAAAATACTAGGTAGGTAGTTGTATGTAATGTAAGAAAGAAAAACCATTCACTTAACTCTCACAATTCATCTTTCTCTTGAAAGAACTTCTATTTATGAGACTAATGATTGATTCCTTAAAGTCAAGGGGCTGTTCATCGAATAAAATTGGCCCGTAGGAGCACCATTGGCGAATTGAAGCACTAGACAAATTCCAAGAAAAAATAAGCAAATTCTTGAAAAAAGGCCATTTTTTTTGAAAAGCACTGGTGATTTTCGAAGCATCATTTGAAGGCAGCCGGCCGAAAAACTACGATAAAATACCCCTTGCTTAAAATCTTTGAAGGATATTTTGTTTTATGTTTTAACTAAATGGAATCAAAGGCGAATAATATTTAACTTAATTAATTAATATTTCATATCAGAAGAAGCTTTTATTAATGGAAAATTATTTTTGCAATTTAATTGATTCATCGCCATGACAGAACTTGGGTAAAAATTATTATCTGAAATTGCATCAAATGTCTTGTTATGTATCTTTGAATGAAAAATAAAATAAGTTTTGAGTTTTTATTTGTAGATGTTGAAAAATAATTCGACTTAGGTACCACAGGAATTAATCTCAATACTTTTTATTTACGGAAGCCCAACTTATCTGTAGTGTTAATTTTGAAGATATGTAGTTTTTCATAGTGTGTGTATTTCCTGGATTGAATGAATAACATACAAAGAATAAGCACTAACTCAGTAAACTTTTTAACTAATCATAAAATTTTCTCTCAACTTTTAATTAAATTAACAGTCTAACGGTGAGCTAATAAAAAAATCTTCCAAAAGCCGATTAAAATTTCCTCGCATTGCAATCAAGCTCCGTCCCGGACAACTGACGGTGCGGGAAAAGGAGACAATTATTGATGAGAAAATCATTCAGCGTACCGAAGAGGTTTCCGATCCCGTCACGGGTGAACCTACGTTAAAAACGTTTGAATATGTCGAGAAAACCATCGAAAAAGAGGTTAGCGAAACAATAAGAGTTTTCTCTTTCAAACTTCACAAACTTATGTACAGTTTTTCTTCTTAATATTTCAAAAAGATAGAGATGCATTATTTATTTAAAGTTTTCATCATTTATTAGAAATTGTTTTATGTTATTTATAAATCATGTTTTTTTTTGTTTCAAATATACTTAATTAAAACACTGCTTAGCGATTAGACTTATCACAATGCTTTGTTTGTCACGACTCTCAAAAAGTCTGTAGGGATTAATAAATCTCCAAAGAACCGCACAGCACAAACCCGGCACCATATGAAAGTCAGAATTTAGATATACATGTGAATTGATTTTCAACAGTGATTGATTACTTACCATCAATTGATTGACTCTAGGTGATCAACATATGATGCGAGAGTGGAAAATGTAAATATTTTCGCTATCAACCCTCAAGTTTACAATGGAATCCGCCCATAGCTGCTTGTTATTTTGATTAAGTTTCATGTCTCATGGTTGGGCATAGTCGTCATTTTAAGGAATACTTTTACTGCTTATAAAAGAAAAATAATCAAAAACGTTATACATAGAAATATATACGCGTAAGCTTTTTATTTGAAATGATTCAAGTAAGTGAATCTTTGACCAATTTCATAATTTCAAAAGACGTTAATCAAGATAATGAACTTTCGTTTTTAATTTAACTATCTCGAAAAAGTTTTTCAGTTTGTTTTAGTTTATGAATTGATAAATTATGTTCAGTTGTGGAAGATAGAGATCTGAAACTTAGATGGGTATTTCAAGTTTTAAAACTTTTTTAATTATGTGTGAAAATTGAAAGAAAAATTCAAGAAAGTGTAAAAAAGAACAAGAGTCTAAGTCTTTCCATCTGTCAATTATTTACCTTTATTACAAGATATCATTCACTTTGATACATCAAAGGGAGAAGATGAAGAATAAATTTTTCCGCGACTAAACTATTCCAAATCCAGATTATTGCGAAAAAATTGTTTCCAAAATAGGATTGCGGATTATTAATTAGATATTACCTATTAAAATTTAAACTTAAAAAATATTTTATTACGCATTCATATTTTTAACGGTTAAAATTTTAAAAATCGATTTGAATTTTCTGCTCGCAATAACATACAATTTTCTTTATAAGTTTTCTCTTTATGAGTAAAGCTCTTCAAATTCCCACACACTCACATTATGAAGTAATTTTCATTCTTTATAGGAAGAAATTCTTTATAAGTGAAGTTCTTTATCACCATGAGAGTTTATATTAAAAGTATTTTCTTTATTAGTCGACGAGAAAAGAAATGCAGTTTTGCATTCAATGCGCTCATCGTTTTTTTTATCAGTAATTGTAGAAACTAGAGACACGTCAAATTAAAATGTAGCAGATTCATGGAAAAAAACTATAAATACAAAAAAAAATTAATAGCAAAATTTAAAAATACCAGTGAAAGCCGTGCAGATCTTGTAGAAAATTGTGTTAAAGTTCTTGAAAATGCATTACCTTTGATATTTATTGAAATGCACGCTAGGTTGATAACGAGTATTTTCATTTACCTTTTCGAAAATATTCTTTATAGGAAGAAGTTCTTTATATGTAGGAGACTCCCTTCAGAAATCTTATAAAGAAAGTTCACTGTACCTAGATCTGGAATTTTTTTTCGCAATGCTTTCAGTTGGAAAAAATTATTCTTCTCATCAAAGGTGTTTAATAAATGCTTCATTACTTTACTCGTTTCCTTAAGAGAACTCTTTAGATGAGTATGAGAAAATTTTTCCTCATTTTGAAATAAATTATAATCTTTAACTATGCTGTTTCGTATCTACATCTTATTACATTTATATGAACCTTGTTGTACCTGCCTTAATAATATTAACCATGTAACACCTAAGTAGCAAAGACGTAAAGGAAACGGATCAACATGATGAAGCAAAAGTTTTTGCTCAATCAAGGGTTGAAGAGTGAAATAAAGTTTTTAAACCAGCCTATTTGTGGAGCTTTTCCTTCATCGTCATTCACGCACAATCGTCCAGGAGAAAATAAATAATTCAGTAGTAAATCTCATAAATTTTGGTTTGATTTCCTTTCTTCCATTTCACCCCCCCCCAACAAGCAGAAATGAAACGTTCTGTTTTATAGCGTATTCACATTGAATTTCATTTGCAAAATGGCTTTTGATGGTTATGGAACTGGACATGAACATCTTGGGTCATCTACGACTCTAAGTTCTCATCGTAAATGGACATTTGTATCCATAAATTCACTTCTTTTATCATTTTGCAAGAAGAAACAACCTCTGTTGTAATAGCTCAATTAAACTAAATTTTCCCTCAAATGACTTTGTGGTGATGGGCTTTTAATGGCTTTCAATTTCTTCGTCTCCTCTCTGTATTTCCTAACTTGGCAACAATGATAATGTTCTGACATTTTTTTTCTTTACTTTTCAATCCTACAGGTTGAAACGTGCCAGGAAAAGATAATTTCCTTGGAGTTGGAAGATCCGAAATCACTTGAATCACCTACAACACCAACAACGGAAGAATTAATTCAAGCTCAAGTTCAACAGCGTTTTCAAAGATCACCAGAAGATAGCGATGATAATCAATCGTCATTGATTACTGTTCGTGCTAACGACACAGAAAACATAGTCATGTTAAGTCCAACAGATCCGAATGACTACATTGATGCTAATGCTTTCGAAAAAAGATCACAATGTCGTCCTTTGTTAAACCTTCAAACAATTGTGGAAGTCGTTAATCCAATGCTTGCTGGTGATGGAACAGCAACTGAAATTGCTATTGGAAGAAAAATTGATGATGCAAGTCTACCATCGTTTGAGGTTGAGGTGGATGTTGATGGTGTCGTCTATAGAAAAAATGAGCTATCGCTCAATGACAAAATGAAAAATGTTCTCAAAGAACTGAAAGAAAACGAAAAAGTTCGACTAAGTCTTTCGCGCAGCATGGATGAAGATGAAAACAATGGCGACGTTGTGGAGTCTGAACAAGATACAAACGTTTCTTACGAAGAGAAAACTGGATCAATTGGAACTGTTTTTATGGTACGAGAACGTTTGATAAATGATTTTTATGACCATCAAGAGGCTGCTGCACCAGAGAACTATGAAAAAGTTCATCATAGTTCACAGGCCACTGTCTACGCTAACCCAAGTGTCGTTGATGAATTTCTAGCGAATGAAATTCACCACACACAAGAAACATCTGAAAATGATTCAATAACATCACATAAAGAAACAATGGCGCTTCACCCTAATCAAACAGGATTTGTTGATGAACAGGAAAACGATGATGGTGATGATGATGAGGAATCCATTTCAACACCAACAACACCCACGAACTCATCAAGTACTTGTATTAACGGCAAGAAAAAACGGAAGCGAAATAGAAATAAAAAAAAATAAAAAGCGAGCATTGAAGATCATTAATTAAAGTCACATATTGAAAGAACATTAACATACATAAGCATAATGGATATTTTTCTTTTGTATACCAACAAAATACAAAAATACTGTATGACTTACTCACCTCACGTAACTCATTTCGTTACGTGCATCGCCTTAACAGGAAAAATCCAATTTTAGTTCACATCGTATTTTCCCATTAAAATTAATTAAAATATTACAATTTAATACCATGGTTGGTAATAAAAATTTGTTGAATGGATCGCATTCTTGTTGCTTTCTTCTTCGTTTCTATCCTTTTTAAATAGTTCTTGTTGGTTTTTTTTTATTTGCAACATTGAAAATAATTTGACATTTGAAATTTTAAGATTCTTATATATCAATTACTACCAATGAATTGTCCTCTAAAGTGTTACAAATGGAAATTAAATTAAATTCATTATTGAAATTTTATATTAATGGGCGCGCTTTGGAATTGAGCAAATCAAAAGTCAAGCATATCTGTCGAAGAATTCATGATTTTAGTAGTAAAGGAAGCTAATAATTAAGGAAGTTTAAATTTTTTATTCATAATTCATCGTGAAGGTCATTGTAATAAGAATGACTCTTGACCTTTATATGCCAATCTCATTTACTTTCATTCATAAATATGAAAAGCTTTTAAGCATTTTCCAGTGTGATAAAAGCTTTTAAGATTCTCTCAAGATTTTAAGTGGAAACAATTTTTCTTCAGTCAGAAAAGCTTTAAACATCTTCCCACTCAACTGATGTAAAAAATAAAATAAGAATACCAACTCACCTCAACCCACATCTCCGACACAGAGTGGTGTATGCGCAATTCTTGACTAATGATTCTTTCTTATAATATTTTCTTCAAAATGAGATATTGTCATGAAAATAAATTTACCGTTGATGTGTTTAACGACTACCACATCGAACCATCTTCATTCTCATGCTAAATTAATCGATGAAAGTTGCTCAATTTTTTTTTTTCATTCTATTTTGTGAGTGAAAAAAAAGGAACACAGATCTGTCATAACCGAATCCTTGCATAAAGTTAACTATGCTTTGTAAATTCATTAATTAAAAATAGTACAGTTGGATAGCGACAAAAAATAGCTGTTGATCATCAAAATCCTGACATCATACAAAACAAAAAAAAAGTTAATTGTTCTCATCACTGGCCGTCATATAAACGCTCTTTGAAACGTGTACTCTTCACACATAGTGACGCATCCTTTTTGTAAAAATATTGTCTCTATTTAAACATTTTGTTTAATGAAATAATATATGTCCAATTACTATTGTGACCAAAGTGTTTAATAGACATTTTTATGGTAAAAAGTGTTATGAAATTTTTTATTTTTTACACATTTTTCTTAGTTTGATCCCTCTTCCGACATCATAAACTGTTGGTGAGAAAGTGTTCTTGTTGTAGATGACATTTTCGTCTTGTGTACTTGGGTATGAATGCCTTTGAAACTCTACAGTAGAAGTAAATGAGGCGGAAAATCAACATTGATGTGCTTTTCATAATGATGATAACAGTAGCACAGGCGATGAGATGAGATGCGGGTGGTGGGAGGAAGAATAAAATATGAATATCAATTTAACGAGTATACATTTTGGCAAGCATAACGACATGAAATAAAAACTGATAGCGAGATCAAAGATTGGGAAAACAGCAAGTGAAGTTGACATGATAAGATAGAAAAGTTTTGCTTTTTTGTTACTTGACACTGATTCTCTCTCACTTACAATACAATTTTCAATCTTCCTTTAAGGCAGAAATGATTTAATAAATTTATGAAATGTTATGAATAAACATCAGAAATTACATCACACGGAAAATTTGTTTAGCTTAATTTTCATTCGTGTTTCTACGCGTAAGATAATGTTTATAAGATTAAATCTCCGATTTCTTTTATTTTTTCGTTGTTGATGAAAAACTGTTCGTTTTCGTGGAATGAATTAGCAATTGAGATTCATCTTGATGTGAAATGTGTTTGTGAAGGCAGAGAAGAGGATGAATAAAAATGTTTAAAAGAAAGCAGTGATTAGCGTAGAATATGTATTTGTTTCTTAAAATAAGCCTTTAGGTAAAAGCACAAAATTCTTGCAAGAATAAAGTAGATCAGCATAAGTAAGATAAATGCTGAGATTTAAGCGAAAACAAAAGTATATCTAATCATGCCTAATTATTTTAAGATTTCCGTCCTCGATAAAACGATGAAACTATCTCATTATAAGGAAACAAAAATTAATTAGCAATTAAGGAATTTATTAACCTGATACTACGGATAAAGGCTTAACGTTAAATTGCTTATGAAATATTTTTTATAGCGAAAGCTTTGTGGCAAAACCTTCACAAACTCAGCATTTAGGCATAAAATTAGCGTCAAGTTGCCTGCAGATCAGCTACTCTTCTTTGTATCTTTATGACGAAAGTAATGAAAATTTATGTAGTAAACATTTTTGTAAAAGCGACGAAAGAGGAAATAGAATAAAGTGATTTTATGTTACATAAAATTAAAGCTTTTGATTAAGCGTGAAATTCTGTTCATGACTCATAAATAAATATATTTTCATATAAATTTTTTTTTCCAGAAAACAAAGAAATTATGTTGGCAAAATTTGAATGACTTGTTATTTGCCTTAATTTTTGTTGTTTTTTTAATGTTACAGTGGAACTTCCATAAGCCGATGGCTCAAGGTGTAACGGATTATCGAGGTAATCGGTTTATGGAGGTCAGTTCCAATATAAATTCGATTAAAAGGGGACAAAAAATATCGGTATATCGAGGTTTATCGGCTTATAGAAGTTCCACTATATCTTGAAAACTTTAACAAATTAATCATTTATTTAGTTTTTGTAGCTTCTTTCTTAACCATCGATGATATTTTTGAAAATACCTAATAAAAAATAATTTCAAAATATTTAAATAAAACTCGCTTCAACTTGAAAAGCTTTCTTGAAATTCATTGTGAAGGCTACGCAAATCATTTTTGTTACCTGTCAATTTAAACACACTCGGTTCGTAAATTTTTATTACCAACTTACATCCCTCCTACAGAAATACACAAACGAACAAACATTAAAGTGAAAGCTTACGAAGTATTAAGGTATGTAAGATATTTCTTCTTATTTCACACGCGTGAAGCATTTTGAATGTAATTTTCACATTGCGTGAGTTTTCAAGAAGAAGAAAAGAAAAATTCAAACCCCAAAGTTATCAGAGTTTCTGTCTCTTTGTGTTATCTCGTTTGATATCAAAACGTCAATAACATTGCGTGAAGTAAAAGTTTCGTGTACACTGTCATCAAGACCTGGTTTCAGTTAACGTTGAAACGTAAAGACATTAAGACACCTTTTACGTAGGTGAATAAAATTGGAATTTATAGCCAATCGAATGTGAGATGGAAAGACATTCGCCAGTCTTTTAGTGAACGTGAATTTCCTTGAAGCTGTAACAAGCCATGGTAAATACATTATTGATGTCTCCTTTGTAATTCCAACAGAGATATATTTTCCCGAAATAAATAAAATTTTTAGCATGCAGAATCTGCACGCAACTTATTCTTTCTCGTTTCCATTTCTTTTTTATTTAGGGACAGAAAATTTTCTCTAAAATCGAATTTTTCACATATTTTCTTTCTTTTTTTCGTGCGTTATGAAAATCGAGTAAAGCGACGAAGGCAAAAAAATTGAATTTGTCTTTTATTCATGTTTATTTGATTTTGAGATACATTCAATATAATACCGGATATTGCATGGAAAGTTGCCTGAGGCGTACAAAGAGCTTTGAGCTATCTAAGCTTTCAAAACGACTTCCCTGAAAATTTCCACACTGTTATTCCCTGCATCCACGTGATTTCCTGATTTATGATATTATGCCTGCTTTATTGGCGCTTAAAATGTGAAATAATTTTTTATTATGAAGATATTTGGAAATGTTTATGGAAGTAAGATTATATAGCAGAGCCTTTTTTTACTCCACATGGAACTTAAAAGATATTGCATTGATGATGTTCTTCTTTCTTCAAACCCAAGAAACAAATGACGATATGTTTTTAAAGAAACAATTTCAATTTGTTAATATTTCTTTTATAAATTTTCCGACCCATGACAGTTTTATGACCTTTAAGTATCATGTTGTCTGATTATAGGATTCCCACTTTCGAGATAATGAAAACACTTTCCAACGTTTATTTTATATTTTATTCCTCTTACAAGGTTACAAGCGTGAACATTACGATTTCAACAGTTTCATTTCTTTTACTTGCAAATGCTAAATGAATATATTATCTTGAAAAAATTTAAATTATACTTCACATAAATCAACCGTATGAAATGATATTATTTCAACCACATGACATGTGTCAGTGAGGGCCCGTTAAACCCTCATCATCATCATTTGCTACAAACAGCATTGTCTGTGGCACTTCCTAAAATTATTTATTATATTTGTTTTTGGGAACAAAATTAAATTTACTTCATCTTAGTCCCTGCACGTCATCGCACTTGATTCTCACCTCATGTCTGCAAATGAATTATGGAGAAGTAAAAGCTAAAACGAAAACTTTATTTTCGTGACTTTTCTATACATATTATATA